ACATCTAAAGCCAAAAGGTCTGCCATTGTATCCTGTGAAGCACTAAGCCAAAACACATGATCATGCATGTGGTTTATGATTGTGTTTATGGGTATGTTTAGGGTTTTTCCTCTCCATACCTGATCCTTGTCAGCGCACAGTCCACATGGCATCAAGGAGCAAACCAGCACCAGAAGACAACCCAGGATCACAGAACTCTCCATCGTGCTGCATTTCACCCTGGTCTCCTCTCGCTTGTTTTATACCAGTGTCACGGCCCCTCCCTGCCTGACAGGGGCGTTTCCCTCTCAGGCAGGGTGGATCCAGTGATTGGGGCACCTGTGCTTAAAGAGCGACTAAACACCTGTGCCCAGCCTTACTCCGCCCGCATGAAGATTTGAAAATGTTCTCTAAAAAGGGCGTTGCCTGGAGGACCAAGGGACAAGAAGGGGGGCTTAGAGCTGGGCGTGGTCTGGGCTGTGATTGACAGCTCACTTGTCACACACAAAAAAAAAGCAGACAGTTGTCATTGCTGCTTAAAGCAATAGTTTACAGACCAGAAAGTCTCATTCCACCCTTGATTACACACTAAGATAATTGTAAGGGCCATGTTACATACTGGTTACTTCACCTCTGTCAGTGTGCCCCAGGGCAGCTGTGGCTACAGTAGTAGTTTATTATCACTCTCATGAAACTCTTAAAAAGCGCATTATCTGCTAAGTCTGTACATTCACTCTGCCAAATGAAGACACAATAAAGTATTAAAAAAAGAAAAGCGCTATAGAAAACTGATTTATTATTATTATTATTATTATTATTATTATTATTATTATAATTATTATTGTTATCATTATTATCATTATCATTATCATTATCATTATCATTATCATTATCATCAATCAATCAATCAACGTTTATTTATAGAGCGCCTTTCCTACACAAGGCAACGCAAAGCGCCTCACAACCCATATAACATCATGCATAAATCATCAAACATTAGAATTTAAGTAAACATAAAAGGACAGATTAAGAGCACAAGATATATAAAATCACACAAGTAGTTAAAAACCGTAAAACATAAAAATCACACAAGGGATTAAAATCATAAATAATCATAAATAATCATAGTGCATTAAAAAGATTAAAGATAAAAACAAATATAAAATCATTCACTTGTATGCACAGCTAAAAAGAACTGTTTTCAGTTCAGTTTTAAAAACTGCTAGAGTAGACGCCTGTCTCACACTCTCGGAAAGACGGTTCCAGACTCTAGCTGCATGAATCTGAAACGCAGCCTCCCCATGTCTAGTTTCGACTCTTGGCACTAACAGAAGTCCAGTCCCTGTGCTCCTCAGAGCCCGAGTTGGTTCATATCGCACCAACATGTCGCGGATGTACCCTGGTGCGAGGCCATGGAGAGACTTGTACACAAGTAAAGCTACTTTAAAATCTATTCTCTGAGCCACAGGAAGCCAGTGCAGAGACCTGAGGACCGGACTAATGTGGTCGTACTTCCTGGTTCTAGTCAGGACTCGAGCTGCAGCATTTTGGATGTACTGCAGCTGTTTTACCGCTTGTTTAGAGAGACCTGTGAACAAGCCATTGCAGTAGTCCAATCGACTGGAGACAAATGCGTGGATAAGAATCTCCAAGTCTGCTTTAGACACAATGTTTTTAATCTTAGCAATGTTTCTTAGGTGGAAGTAAGCTGATGATGTCACAGATGATATGTGGCTATTGAAATTTAAGTCTGAGTCCATTATTACTCCTAGATTTCTGACCTGAGTTGAGGGTTTTAGGGAGAGAGACTGGAGGTGGCAGATAACGCTCTCTCTTTGTTTTTGAGGTCCAAAAACAATAATTTCAGTTTTTTCTGTGTTTAGCTGGAGAAAGTTATTTTGCATCCAATCACTGATTTGTTGGATACAGTGAAGGAGCGAGTCCACTGGTCCATGTTCTCCTGCTGTCAGGGACACATAGACCTGAGTATCGTCAGCATAATTGTGATAGGACACGTTATTACTGTGTATTAACCTACCCAGAGGCAGCATGTAAATATTAAACAGGAGAGGCCCCAGGATTGAGCCCTGTGGCACTCCGCAGGTTAGGGCCAGATGGTCTGAGATACAGTTTCCGATCTCCACAAAATACTTTCTGTCCTGTAGGTAGGATATAAACCAGCTTAGGGCTGTTCCAGAAACACCAACCCAGTCCTCAAGTCTCTGAATGAGGATACCATGATCGACAGTGTCGAAAGCAGCACTTAAATCTAACAGGATAAGAACTGAGACTTTTCCTGCGTCAGTGTTAAGTCTGATGTCATTTGTTACCTTCACTAGAGCGGTCTCTGTGCTGTGGTGGGGTCTAAAACCAGACTGGAACATATCAAAAGAGTGATTGATTATTAAAAATTCTGTAAGTTGTTGATAGACAACTTTTTCTAGAATTTTACCCATGAAAGGCAGATTTGAAATGGGCCGATAACTTTTAAGTGCCAAGGCATCCAGACTCCTCTTGTTTAGGAGGGGTCTGATGACTGCCGTTTTCAGGGCCATTGGGAATGTTCCAGATTCAAGAGACATATTTACTATATGCGTGAGTGAAGGTAAAAGACTGCTCAGAACAGATTTAAGAAATCTAGGAGGTAATACATCCAGGCTACATGTAGAAGAACTCAGACTTGTAATTATCATTTGGACAGTTTCATTTTGTACTGGTGTAAAGTGTGTCAGCCCAAAAAGCTTCACTGGCTGTTGGATTGTAATTTCTACTGTGGAGGTGATGGCATTTTTGATGCCTTGGACTTTGTCATTAAAAAACTCTGCAAACTCATTACATTTGGTTTTGGAGGTAAGCTCTGATGGCATCTTAACAGGGGGATTTGTCAAATTATTTACTGTTGAGAACAGAACGCGTAGATTGTTACTGCAACCTTCGATTGTTTCGGAAAAATAAGTTTCCCTCGTTCTACGTAGCACACTGTTGAACTTGCACAATGCATCTTTGAAGATCTCATGGTCAACTTGGAGATTTGACTTTCGCCACTTCCGCTCGGCTCTCCGGCACTCTCTCTTCTGTGCCCTGACAGAGTCTGCTTTTGTCCATGGCGCTTTTTGCTTATTTGTAACAATTTTGACCTTTACAGGAGCAATCGTGTCCAGAACATCCAAAACACTAGAGGTGACAGAGTTAAGTAATTCATCCACAGTAGAACACAACGTGTTATCAAAGTTTATCATCCCCATGAAAAGTTCACCTGTATTTTTGTTTATGTGTCTTCTTCTTCTAACAATTGAGGATTCAGCTCGTGCTTTACTATTGAGACACATATCAAAAAATACACAGAAATGATCTGACAGAGCAACATTGGCCACATTTACATTTGAGATATTAACCCCTTTAGTAATTAGCAGATCGAGAGTGTGTCCTCTGCTATGGGTGGGGCCACTCACATGCTGAGTGAGACCAAAGGTTTCCAGCACAGAGCTCAGCTCTTTCGCGTATCTATCATCAACGTTATCTACATGTATATTAAAATCACCTATGACGACTAAACTATCAAAGTCTGTGCAAACAACTGAAAGCAACTCGGTGAAATGATCAGTGAAACTATGACATGACTGTGGCGGCTTGTACACAACAATAATAAGAATAAAAGATTGTTTTTGTTCTATTTTAAAAGAGACATACTCAAATGAGGAAAATTTCCCAAGAGGTACTCTATGGGAGACAATACAATCTTATTATTATTATTATTATCCTTCCATCCATTTTCTTCCCCATAATACATTTCTGGGTCAGGGGGGTGGCTGTCAGAGCTGTACCCAGTTCACATAGCACCAGTTCCTCATAGTATATTAAATTAAATTGTAACCTCTGTTTGATAATGCATGTAGAGTCATGTACCCAACTACCTTTGTTTTAGTGTGACAACAACCGTGTTCTCTAACTACAGGTGTAAATTAACATTCCTACTGGTTTGTACAATGCATCTCTCCTTTTGTCTAATTTTATTGCACACTGTTCTTGTAAAAAAAAAAATTACCTCATCAAAGACATGAAAAGTATTCTGAATTGTTGTATCTCAATGACAGGTCGTTCTAAAGACATAAGGCCCACCATTTTGGAAGACTTCAAGACACTGGCCAGACAACAAGGAATAAGCAACGAGTTTATCACAATCAAACAAAACAAAGGTAATTTCAGTTTTGTTCAGTCCATTGTTTGTTCATTTAACCTGATCTTAAAGCTGTAGAATCAGAATCAGAATCAGAATCATTTTTATTGCCACGTGAGTAACAGGAGGTCACAGACTTGGAAATTGCTTTGGCTCAGTGCAACAGTCAGAAAGAGATAATAAAAATAAGAAGGATCCTGGATCTACACCTGCGGACTGCCCAGCCCGACCTGCCACTTTAACATGTTTTTATTGCCCAAATCGATAATTTGCATTTTCAAGTTTGCAAAGGATCGGATGTTTTCTAATATGATTAAGGTATTTTTGCACAACCTGAGTGACTATCTATATGTAAAATGTATATTTCTCCATTGTATGATTAATAACATGTATCTTATTTTATCTTACTCTACTCGGTCTTACTCTAACTGGTTGCTTTTCCATTGTACTTCAGTATTGCATCAAAGCAACTTTCACACAACAAATCATCTGGGGATATTCTAGCTGCACTCAGCTCCAATCACTGTCAGTGATTTGGAACCAGCACAGCCCATTTCAAACCAGGGCCAAGCAGTTAAAAAGTATCTGGTACTGATTAAACAGGAAGGTGGTAACACTCATTATTGGGTTAAATCAGTGAAAGGCATGGGTTGCGTAGAGTAGAGACTTGTAGAATAGGACTGGTGGAAACGGGGCTAATAACTGAAATCGTGAGTAAGTCAAATATAAACCAGGAAAGTACTATATTCTTTGGCAAACATTCAAAATGACCACATTTCAGTGAAATAATGGTTGGATGTGATATTCCATGTGCAAAGATGTCGAGGATTGTCTTTGTCATCTTTTAGCAGAGGCCTGTCAAAATAAATGACAAAAACAAACTATAATAATTCTTAATATTGTTTTTCTTTTTTTGCTGAAAATTTTTAGCTTGTTTACCTTTGTCAAGATTTATGATTATTTTTGTGTCATTTACACCCTTTTCCCTCACCAACAGTTTGAAGTTTTCCAACATGGCCGCACTCATATTTTTTGTCCGACCTGTGAGGAAAAACTTTGACCAATGCTGGTGTTTTTACCATGAAAATTAAAAAACCAAAGTTACTCACTATAAAGTTTCATTTTAAGTGTTTTTTGTCTTGCAGGCAGCTCTGTACTCAGGTCAACCATGAATGCGTATTCCACATAGTTTGTATCAACCACATTCACATCAACGTCAGCGTTGAACTCTGGAGAGAAATCACAAAAAACAACTGAAATACAAAGATAATCCCCACCATTAATAAATAATATGGTTTTTGTACCGACTAGAAAAGTGGTAGAAGAACCTCCCTGGTGTTTCTGTCAGACTGTAGTTGATGACAGTCAATTCACAAGATTCATTTCTGTGAATACAATACATAACTCAGATGAACCAAAATATACAAATTAAATCGAAATTTGTATGTAGATATCCCATAAGCTGGGCCCAGACTGGTAATACAATCCACCAAGCCTGTGTTGCCAATTCCTGCAGCAACTTGAATGGGAAGATACAAGTTGCTGCACTGAAGTTGCAATAGTCTCAATGATAACCTTGCTTTTATTGATTTTCTTAGTGAGTCATGGAAATGTTATATTTCTAAGTGGTGTTTGCCAATTCCCAGCAATACAAAACTCCACAGTACAGGGCGACAGTAGCTCAGTTGGTAGAGCTTTGGCCTTTGAGCCTGAAGGTCGTGGCTTCGAGTCCACCATAAGACCTACTTCACGACTCCCCTGATAATTGCTGTCGTTGTGTCCTTGGGCAAGACACTTAACCCCACTTTGCCTGAAACTCCCGCTGAAAGATCTCAGCTCACCACCTGCAGGAGGATCAGTGAGGGGCTGGTGCTCTGTGTACTGGGTGCAGCTCTGACTTGCCACCCCCTGACCCAGAAATGGATTAAGGGGAAGAGGATGGATGGACAAAACTCTACAATACTCCTGTTAGATATACTATTTTATATGTTGCTTCAGCCTTTTAGACTTTGCTATTGCATTTCTCACAGAAGCACCGCTTCCCGCTCTGAGAGGATCAAACGATCCCCATAGCTCTTTTCCTGCCTCTCTCTGCTTGCCTAAAGCCTCGTTCAGACCGGATCATGCGTTGCGTTGACTTTCAATGCAAAGTGATGCACGAATGGACTGGTAGAGATGGTGGTGGAGATGCAAAGACTGAATGGCAAAGGCGCGGCAGAGGCACAGGAGCGGAAAATTGACGCACGCAGGAGATACAATATTGCTGAGCGTTTCCTCGGGACGCTCGTCTGGGTTGGCGTCATGCCGCGGAGGACAGCGGCAAGTGTGTGGCCTGCCTCGTACTCCCCAAGAAGGAATGTAATAAAAATGGTGTCTTACTGAATGCCCCTATGTGTGATACCAGGGTGAGCTCACTCATGTTGCACCTGCCTTACCTTCGCCAGTGCTTCGCCTGGTTCTTTTGATTCGTCAGGCTCCAAAACCAGTGGGATAGGCCTCTGACAGCCAAATATCCAACTCTAGCGTAGGGGTTCTACGCAGGGATCACCATCAAGGACGGTGTACGCCTATTCCTTCTGCCATCCTCCTCTTGGTGGTCTGGTCTAGCAGCTCCTTCAAAGCGGGATAAGCTGACTATCTCCATGCTGGACAGGTGTTATGCAAATGCTCACAGGTGGCTGTATTTGCAAACATCTCGCTCATTCCTGGGTCTCTCGACACTCTCCGTGGTCGAGATCAGCTCTCCAGGACGGAGATCGAGGAGACTGAGGACACCATGGCTACCTTCCTCTGCATAGCCCAGGGATTAGGCCAAGAAGGTCTATGTGACCTCCTCATACTTGTTTGGACCAGACATTCAGACCCTCGTCCAAGACCTCAGCATCTCCGCCCCCACGGGCTGAGCGGAGCAAGGCCCCCAGGGCCGCGTCAGCGCGTGGTCCAGAGCCCAGGGACTCTCTGGATCCAGTGCATGGAAGAGAGCGGACTTGTGACCAGAGGAGGATGACACTTCTATCCCCCCTTCCTCTTTTTCAGCCTCTGGCCAGAGCTGCACCCCCGTTATGCACCTGGTGGCGCACGTTGGAGGCATGCTCCAAGGACAACCCCGCAGCCTCGACTCTCTTGGGCAGAGAGTGCATGGCTGCTCACTCCCCTCCTATGCTCTCTATGTGCTACAGGCCCTTCCCTTTGCTAGTGGCAGCCAAGCTACGGGGGACTCCAGGGGGTATGGGACCTATGAGCAACCTCCAGACGTGCATGCACTGTATGCTTGCCCCAAACCCGATACAAGCTGCCTCCAGCAGCTCCGCGCCTCTCCTCCTTTGAGTATTGCCGTCTCCCATTCGGCTACTCCCAAGTCCCACCCACCTTCTCCAAGGGAGTTTAGGTGGGTGGGACTTGCTAGGTGCTAGATCTGCTTCGGCGTCAAGGATATGTATATCGACGGCTGACTGATCACGGCCTCCTCTCAGGAAGAGAAGCAGACTCACACGTATGTTTAACCATATTATCCCCCTGGGGTTTATGATCAATATGGACAATAGCTCCCTGTGCCCCGCCCAGGAGCATGATGGCTTCACTTTCACCAAAGAGACAAGTAGCGATTGTAAATCTGGGCTGGGTCACACAAACCTCAGGTCCAACCGCGACAAATCTTATTGCTCCTGGGCGTGATAGCGGCGGCCCACCCAGTGGTGAGACTAGGGCTACTGCGCATGTTTTGTCTCCAGAGGTGGTTTTCACACCTGAGGGGCTTATTACGGAGGCCTTCTGGCCAGGTTATACTCCAGGAGGGGGTTTGAATGGGTCTGGTGGACCGCCACATCGAGGTCTTCACAGACACCTCTCTGAGTGGTTGGGAAGGCGTGCTCAGTCACCACCCTGCAGGAGGCGTTTGGTCTCCTTTTGGGGCACATCAACCTCCTGGAGTTAGAGGCGGTTCTGGCTCATTTTGTGACCAGACCGGCCAACACCTGATTGTTCGGACAGAAAACACCACCGTAGCAGCTCACCTGAACAGACTGGCAGTGGAAGTCCTTCTATGGATGTTCACTGTTTCGCGGTACTTCAGTGGAGGAGATCTACAGGGCAGCCTATACCTTTGTGCAGTTATATCTAATGGATGTTGCCTTATTCGGTGCTCATTTGGTTTTGAGTGCAGGGTGGTCGTAGTTCCTCCTACGGCACACCTGGTGTGGCGGCTGGGCTGGAGGGGGGGATTGTGTTTGGAAGTGTCTGGCGCTCTTGGGAGAGGCGGCCTGGACACTTCTGCAGTGAGGTTTGGTTACTGACCTGGGGTTTTAGGCGCTCTTGAGAGAGGCTGCATGCCCAAGTTTGGTTCTTTCCTGCATTGCAGGTTGGGATGTGTGGACCCACATCCTCTTTTTTGTTACTTTGCCGATTGGTTGATGTATGTGCACGTTGGACTGGGCTTTGCTCCAATCACCCGGGTTCATGCTTGCTGTGAGTACATTGGTCTGCCAAAAGGGCTTCTCAAAATATTCATAGAACCTTAGTTACATTAGGTAACTGGGGTTTATACTGTACTTGCCATTGTCAAAGATTACACACTTGTGGGTTTCATCTTTTACTTTTTAAGTTTAACCCATAAATCTTTGTAAATATGCTTTATATCCCCCTGGTTCCAAACCTGGCAGATGTGGCTGTCACAGTGATGTTGGCCTCAGTGTGTTGTAGTTCCAGTTCCACTACTGCGTTGTTTCTCATCTTACGCTGCATGAAGTATGGACATGTAGAAACAACTACCACCTCAAACCAGCGCCCCATAAACTGCAAAAAAATAAAAAAAATAAAAACAGTTTAAATGAAGTAATGTACATTTGTTTTATTTAAATCACACTCACTTGATCCAGATCGAAATGGTCCTGTGTGGAGATAGAAGATTCGTTGAAAAGAGCTCCATCAAATAAACAAGTTCCAAGAAAAAGCCCAAAAACCAGGCTAATAAAGGTAATACACATGTTTTTTGTGAGAGAAATATCCTGTCGTTGTGCACGTTGGGTGCCACAATGTAGTGTTTCCGCTACTGGACTTTGGGACTTTTAGCTAAATAAACATCACGATACCTTGTCACACTGTAGTACCTGATGCTACCACTAAGAGGTGCCAAAGTCTTTGTGACGTGAGAAATTTAACATTTCACATATTTAATAACAGTAGTAGACTAATATTACTCTTACAATCTGAGCCTTTCCTGCAAGTGTCGCTGTTATGGTACAGCTGGCTATGGCGGTGACAGCCGGATATTCCCTTGCTCTGCTCTGCTGGTCTGATTGATAAATAAATGCATTAAAATAACAAAATAAATACATTAAAATAACAAAATAAATACATTAAAATAACAAAATAAATGCATGTAATCATAAATGCATGTGCAGCATTGTATTCCATTGTATTTTATTTAAGATTAAATGACGATTAACATTTCAATCAGAAAAGAAATACGATTTTGTACATGTTAAAATTTGTTAAATACTTTTGAAAATCCCATTTCACAGTAAATGATTCTATTGCGATGAACATGACACATACATAAAAAAAACTTAATATACCTTTAATGCCTATACTTAATTTGACTTATTTGATAAAAAGAATAAATGGAAACCCTGAAAAATGCATAACTACAAAAGAGATGTTACCAATGTCTTTTATCTTCTTTCTATTTTTCTATATTATCACATAGAAAATAAACAAACACAAACAAGTACAAGGCAACGCAACAGTTGAAACATTTATACATATCCGATTTGTACAGCTGAAGAGTGGATATCAGCTGCTAATATCCACTGGCTGGGCAGCTCACTGTTGGCAAAAGTAAACAATATTAATAAATGTTGCTTTAAAACAAATACATAAACTTGACATGTGTGAAAACTACCTGCAGGACCTGGCGTGAGGATGGAGTCCCTGGGGAGTTGGCGAGACAGAGCAAATGCTTTGTACTTCTGATAAACTTCATTTTTCACTTTCAAACTGCGGGCTGCAATGGTTTCATCAGTCATATTGGGTACAGTGCCTTGCGAAAGTATTCGGCCCCCTTGAACCTTTCAACATTTCGCCATATTTCAGGCTTCAAACATAAAGATATAAAATTAATTTTTTTGTCATGAATCAACAACAAGTGGGACACAATCGTGAAGTGGAATGAAATTTGTTGGATAATTTAAACTTTTTTAACAAATAAAAAACTGAAAAGTGGGGCGTGCAATATTATTGGGCCCCTTTACTTTCAGTGCAGCAAACTCAGTCCAGAAGTTCAGTGAGGATCTTTGAATGATCCAATGTTGTCCTAAATGACTGATGATGATAAATAGAATGCACCTGTGTGTAATCAAGTCTCCGTATAAATGCACCTGCTCTTTGATAGTCTCAGGGTTCTGTTTAAAGCACAGAGAGAACCATGAAGACAAAGGAACACACCAGGCAGGTCCGAGATACTGTTGTGGAGAAGTTTAAAGCCGGATTTGGATACAAAAAGATTTCCCAAGCTTTAAACATCTCAAGGAGCACTGTGCAAGCAATGATATTGAAATGGAAGGAGTATCAGACCACTGCAAATCTACCAAGACCCGGCAGTCCCTCCAAACTTTCATTTCAAACAAGGAGAAGACTGATCAGAGATGCAGCCAAGAGGCCCATGATCACTCTGGATGAACTGCAGATAACTACAGCTGAGGTGGGGATGGTGTGTTCAGGGTGATGAGCTGTGTTGCTTTTACGCCAAACATATCGTTTTGCATTGTGGCCAAAAAGTTCGATTTTGGTTTCATCTGACCAGAGCACCTTCTTCCACATGTTTGGTGTGTCTCCCAGGTGGCTTGTGGTAAACTTTAAGAGACTTTTATTGGATATCTTTGAGAAATGGCCACTCTTCCATAAAGGCCAGATTTGTGCAGTGCACGACTGATTGTTGTCCTATGGACAGACTCTCCCACCTCAGCTGTAGTTATCTGCAGTTCATCCAGAGTGATCATGGGCCTCTTGGCTGCATCTCTGATCAGTCTTCTCCTTGTTTGAGATGAAACTTTGGAGGCACGGCCGGGTCTTGGTAGATTTGCAGTGGTCTCATACTCCTTCCATTTCAATATAATTGCTTGCACAGTGCTCCTTGAGATGTTTAAAGCTTGGGAAATCTTTTTGTATCCAAATCCGGCTTTAAACTTCTCCACAACAGTATCTCGGACCTGCCTGGTGTGTTCCTTTGTCTTCATGGTTCTCTCTGTGCTTTAAACAGAACTCTGAGACTATCAAAGAGCAGGTGCATTTATACGGAGACTTGATTACACACAGGAGCATTCTATTTATCATCATCAGTCATTTAGGACAACATTGGATCATTCAAAGATCCTCACTGAACTTCTGGACTGAGTTTGCTGCACTGAAAGTAAAGGGGCCCAATAATATTGCACGCCCCACTTTTCAGTTTTTTATTTGTTAAAAAGTTAAAATTATCCAATAAATTTCGTTCCACTTCACGATTGTGTCCCACTTGTTGTTGATTCATGACAAAAAATTAAAATTTTATATCTTTATGTTTTTAAGCCTGAAATGTTGAAAGGTTCAAGGAGGCCGTATATTTTCGCAAGGCACTGTATATACAATTACAAGATATTATGACATCTTCTCATGTCATGATATTCGTGATATTTGTTATGTGTAATCTTTAAACTTTCAAATCACAAAATCCATCCAACTATTCCCCAACAGTTTTGTTCTATCATTAGTTTTTATCAAACCGAAATCCAATCAGCTCTCAACCCAAAGCGTCAAATAGTGTCTCACAATACACTTTCTTACAAGGATCCAAAACATAAAGTGGTTTCTGGTAAGGTAAAGACGACATGGTTTGGTGTGGCTGGATCTGTTCACCACATTTGACTCATTCTGTTTATTATTTAAACGGGGCGACAGTAGCTCAGTTGGTAGAGCATTGGCCTTAAGGCTAGAAGGTCGTGGGTTCAATTCCCACCTCTGCACCTTCTCCATCGACTCCCACTGATGACTGCTGTCGTTGTGTCCTTGGGCAAGACACTTAACCCCACTTTGCCCAAAGCCCCCACTGAAAGATCAAGGCTATGCTCACACTCAGAGAGCAGCCGTCCTCCTGTGGACTCACCACCTGCAGAGGGTCAGTGAGGGGCTGGTGCTATGAGACTTGGGTGGCATCTCTGACTGCCACCCCCCTGACCCAGAAATGGATTAAAGGGTAGAAAATGGATGGATGTTTATTATTTATGGCGAAATGTAAAGGTACCCCAGATTAAAGTAGTTCCGTCTGTCATACAAACGTTCTTCCATCTGAACAGTGCATCAGTCTCCTCACCGTACAGAGCCACCTGGGTGTACTCGCGGTTGAACACTTTATGCTTGAGGACGATGGCGTACTCCGAGTAGTTTGTGTCCACCACTGTGATGTCCTTCACAATACTGTGTCCTGCAAGGAGAAAACTCAAAACTCAAACTAATTTTTCTTAAAGTTGAAAGCGGCTCTTACTTGTGCTGAAGTACGTGAACTGTCCCGGCACGCTGGTCGCTTCATAATGGTGCGTGTTGGTCACGCAGCCAACAGGCCTAAAACAGGACGTTGTAATGTAAGTAAGTAGTAAGTAATCTTTATTTATATACCGCCTTTTCACTGCAGATCTGAGTCTCAAAGCGGTTTACAATTGTTTACTTTGGGGATTTGTCTCTCACTCCACACAGAGATGGGAGCGGAGTCACCAGTACAGGAGGCACATGCTAGAACTATTGGACATATTTTTAGTGGTAGGGGAAACCAGAGTACCCGGAGGAAACCTACGCAGACACGGGGAGAACATGCAAACTCCACACAGAAAGGACCTGGTCCGAGCAGGATTCGAACCCAGGACCTTCTTGCTGAGAGGCGAGAGTGCTATCCACTCAGCCACCGTGCCGCCCAACGTTGTCATATACCATGCGTTAAAGCTGGGGTAGGTAACTTTTTCCTTCCACTTAGATAACATTTTGTTTGGCCCAGCTGAAAGAGTTATGTATAAATAACATTTTGGGAATAACTTAGATCACAACATGCTGTCTTTATCATAGATAGATGGATATATACTTTATTGATCCAAAAGGAAATCATATTGCATCATGTTGTTTAATTCATACTGTGACAAAGGCCAAAAATGACATACGTGGAAATACATTTTTTTTTTGAAGAACTGTCGAACTGTCTGATTTTATTTGATCTCTTGTTTTTTAAGCTTTTGAGTTAGGTACCCCAGCTTTGTTTGAGCTGTAAAAACACACAGAGTTGCTCACGTTTGCTCCCACATGGTGAGGTTGACGTTCCCGTTGGGCAGTGGAGTGATCATGCCCATGGCCGCGGTCAGCAGGTGTCTGTACGGGGCAAAGGATGGAGAGTCGTAGGCCAGTCCCACACGATACCACTTACCTGCAAACTGCACACAAGGTCCATTCTCAGACATTTTCATTTAGTAAACTACAATTTTAACTAAATCTATTGTGTTAATTGACCAGAATGTTTTTTTGTTGTGTGTTTTTTCTTTAACAAATTCACATTCAGTTTACCATTTGTATTTGAACACTGTACTACCCAATAGACAACACTGTGAAACAAGGATATTTCAAAACCAGCACATTCTTGGTAAATGCTTCATAGGACAGGACTGTTGGAAGTTGAGGTTGTTCATGGCCTGCTTTGGGGCTTGTCCACTTTCATATTTCTGGTTTAATTTACTGTATGACAACGGTGTCCAAATCTAGTTAACCAGGGTTGTCTAGAGGCTGACAACATGGTTTGTAAATCTGTTTTGACTGAATTGGGGCTGATCTGGGATTTAATTCCATACATGGCGCACATGGAATTTTGTGACACACTCAAAAACAAACTTAGTACATACAACAATTGAATTTTAGAGGTTTTGAGCTTTACAAACAGCTTCCATGACTAAATTAGTGGAGCTGAAGTTGGCTGGAGAACGCTGTGAAATGATACAATAACACAAAGGGCTGCATTTTACCCACAGGCCTTAGTTTAGACGTGCCTGGTTTATAACATTTGAACTAAAAAAATCGAATTAATTTGACAAAAACATTTCATTTTAATTATTGTTTTTGTAATCTATTTAGTTTATGTTTAGTTTTAACCTGAAAATATATTGTATGGAAATATTCAAGTGAAGTTGATTCAAATACAATTCGAACCTATGGGGGAACTTTAAGTGCTGTGTACAAAACAAGAAAGGACACATTAAAACTCAAAAACACAAAACAAACAGAGAATTTAACTGACTAAAATCAGACAAACAGAAAGGCGCCACTCCCATATCTGCAGTCGTGTCCGCACAAGTTGAGGTCTGCACACGAAGCACAATCTTCTTTCGGGGGAGCAGCTTTCAGACCAGGAGTTATTCTGTACTGTAACGGCTGTTTGAGAACATTTTACCCCATGTGTATATTTAGCCCTCACAAACAAGTGAACTATTTTACTGCAAAACTAATGACCCAAATCAGAGGCCTTAGCACAGGAGACTCAAACTCAGTTCATGATGGCTGCAAAAAGAATCTCATTTTTTAAAATCTTCTTCTTCTTCTTCTTTGTATTTTCTTTTTGCATCAGAAACTAGCTCTTTAATACAATATAAAATGTGGCTACGTTTTTTTCCAGTGAGAGATTTTAAGCTTATATTGAGGACAACAGACAAAGTGTAAACATATATATCACTGTCTATGTGCAGCTTGGTTTAACTTGTTACAATTAAATCAATGTTTTACTCATTACAAAATACTTTAAAAGTAAAATTAAGTATGGATTAATTACCTAGTTGTGTTTGATTGTATTCATGCAAAATCACAGTGTCAAAAAATATATTTATAGTCTTAGTTTTGAGATTATTTCAGGGGCAAATCCATGTGAAACCTAGCTTGTCACAAAGTTCCACATCTTTCTCAATATAAGTGTCTAGAAGTGGTGACAATATAAAAGAAACAAATACATGATGTAGGCCAGTAGAAAGGACTTGGACATAAGAAGAGCAGGTTTGTGAATCTTATCTCTTCATAAAATGACCTGGGAAAACATTACGACATCTTCTGTTTGGAAAAGTGCTTCTTTTCTCTGCATTTGTATTGACACCTACTCTGCAAGCTATTTTCATGACAGCTCTACACAAGCTGTTTTTCAAATGTGGACTTTTTGTACATTTCTCCAGTGGGACATCAGTAAAGTCCATCTTATCTTATCTTTGAAGAAGCCCATTTGACATCACACAGCCTTTCCCGATAGACTATGTCCTAACAGAGTAAACAAGCAAATTAAAAGATTTCATTACCCTTTGCAAGTTGAAGTCTTTCTGTGGCTTGACGTCCGCATACGCCATCATCACCATCACCATGACAACAGTCAGCCAGGTGGACCCCATGTTGAAGCACAGATGTTGAGCCCGATGACCTAATTCTAACAATACGTAGAAAGTGTCTGGTCCAGGGCAGGTTCTGAGGGGAAATAGCTGTGCCACTGTTTATTTAATCATGATCCACCCCTTTGAGAATTGGCCAATCACAGTGCAGGAAGCCCAGGCCTGAGCCAAGATTACTTTTGAGGCTGAACACAAATCTGAAATGGTTTGTTCTGACAGAATTCTGTGGTTACAGGAATCCTCTGAAGAATAAGGAAATGGTCACAACTGGTTAGACAAGATGAGAAACCACAACACAATACACAGGGCTGGACTGGGACAAAAAAACGACCCGGGCATTTTTGCCTTCTTGACGGCCCAAGCGTGTTTTTCAAGTTTTTTTTAAAGTTTGTTTATACAGTATGTGGAATAAAATACTGTAGAGGATCAGGATGTATGCAGTTTAAACAAAATAAAGTGCAATGGTCTACATTACAAGAGAGTAATGAACATGTCTCAGAGTGAGGGAGGTGGACACAGACAACACTATTGTTTGTTACAGGGATGAGAATTGGTCAAAAAAGTCTGAAATGCATAATGTCAGCCATTTGCTGGCTCTAAATCTGTTTGATTTGTTCACATTATTTTTTTCTTTTGGGCAAAACCAACATGAACTTTTAATGCAATGGAAAATGTAGGTACCCGAGCTTTAATTTAGGGAGTTACGTCACGCTTCGAGAGGAGAGGGGAGACGCACACTGTTTCCAGCAGCGGTGTATTTATTGGGTGCACAGGTTACACAAAGACACGCATGGTCCTGTGCGCATTTATGGTCATGGGTACATGGTCATGGGTACATGGTCATGGGTACATGGTCATGTTGCGGCCATGAACCCATGACACAAGTCTTGCCCAGGGACATGAGTCAATCCATGTCATCTGCTCCCAGATGACATGGGTCGTGATGGATTCGAACCCACAACCATTAGGTCCATAGTCCAGTGCTCTACCAACTGAGATGTGATTAAATTCATATTTAATCCCAAAATGAATTTAATTAATTAAAGGTACTTTAAAGTCCCGACAGGATTAGCCGGGTCTTACTACACAATCGTACAAATTACAAAATTTCATACATGTAGGAATTTTTTTTTTACAAATGGCTAAGGCCAGGCTACAACCAGCTGTACCTCCAGAAAAACAATAACAAACAATGGTCAAAAGTAAAAATACAAAACAAATAACTCAAGAGGATACAATTGAAATAGTTTTAATCATTTCCATTAGCAGCAGTGCTTTTTTTTCTCTTTTCAGATGCAGATGAATTTTTACAGCTATAGTCTTTCGTTGCCGTCACAGCTTGCTCTGCTTGTTTAAATAGTTCCACACTTCACTCACACCCATACAGAAATGGTTTTCCTCAAGCACTGCATGTTCCTGAGTACCACAGTAGGAAAAAGACAAAAAAAGTGCAACAAAATCTGGGTACAAAATCTGGATATAATGTGATTATAGATTAGTTTCAAGACAATTGATTTTTGTGGTAAATTGACTGAACATCATAATATTCATACCTTTAAAATGTTGGTTTCTGGTCAGATATATGTCCAAAATTCTTTCTGTTCAAAGGGCTGTGATTGATTGTCATTTACTCCACTTATTCATTCACCCAAACAAAATTAAATACAATTTCACAAAAAAATCAAACAGATAAAGCATTAATAACATTCAAAGCATCGAGGGTTTAAACAATAATTTAAACTCATTACAAACATGAAAACATATTTTTTCAGAGTGCTGCAGCTGTTTTGTCATGCGCCCCCTGGTGGTCCCGGTTCGCAAGTGCAAACCCGGTTCAGAAGCATCAGAACAGCCACTGTATTCCTTTCACACACGCACGCACTGTACAACATCAACTTCGATCACGTGTTTTTTCTGTGGACATTCAATAGAACATTTCACACTCTTCATTAAAAGAATATGCACAAAACAAAAGATCAAAATGCCATCCACAGCGGCACAAGGAGGCAGGAATTTCTGTTAAACCACTTAAAAGGTCCGATTCTGTCAACGTTTAGTTTCCCCAAAGAGGAAAAATAAAACTCAACAGCTTGCACTAGAGATCAACTGTCAGTCAGTGCAAAAGCTGAAAACAGGTTCAGCCACATTAGAAATAAATGTTTAAAACTTGATACAGACACTCAAGAATGAAAGGCTATCCACTGAGACAATGTGATGCAGACTACAGAACAGCTAATTGTATTGGAAGAAGTTTATCCACTATAATACAAGGTGTAAAATAATTACAGCTTGTCTTATAACTATATTTTAAAGGACATAAGAAGCATGTATAATTAACAATAGTAAAATATCAAAAATTGTGGTGTTCAAAGATATTATAGGAGCCCAAATTGTAAACATATTGCATTCTTAAGTGTTCTAAATATATTAAGGACAGTGCAATATCAAATAAACAACCACTTTGAGGATCCGGTTCCACGCTCATGGCCTCAAAAGACTCTACAAATCCAGTGATCACAAAAAAAAAAGCACAATTTTAGTTCAACCAAATTGAGAAAGAGACAATATGATGATTCTAAGCAAATTGATATTCAAATAAACCTTGGCGGTCCTAAGTTGGTAATCAACTCACGCCCGTGGTAGTCATTGGAGGGGATGATGCATTGGTAGAGTCCTATATGTTTACAGTAAGCATGGAGCCTGTGGATCTGGAGCTGAACTCACAGTAAGGCACAGAGCTCTGTGGCTATGGACACACACTCATACTGCTACAGCATCACACAAACTACTGCAAAGACCACCAAGATCTACACTAAGAGCATCTCTCCGCAGGGTTCAAACTCTTTTAAACATCAGCCTTTCAATCTTTGGATCATAGGGCTCTTATCAGTCATGTCCAACACATTAGAAAAACTGAATGAAACCAGAACATAACTCCATTCATGTTTGTGTAAAGATAAACACTTCTTTAAACGCATTATCACTTTTCATGTCTCTAAAACAAAAACTATAGAGTTATTACATTCTCTTAAATAAAGCAACATGAACTTATATTTGGTGTGTTGTGGTGTTGTAGATGTACAATGTAAGCCTTCCACAATGGAGCACATTATTGAACCGCAAACATTGGTAAAGCCATTTTGTACTTGAACTTAAAAAAGAAAGCCATATGAAGAGAAAGTGAGAAGAACAGTGTCAGACAACTGGTTCTTTGTGCATACTTGGCCCATGGTGTTTTAATATTACTAATGAACTGAGAGAAGATTGTTGATGTAGGTTTCAATCAATTCAAGTGAGAGATCTAGTAATGCTTTTGTTTTCCAATTGCCTGATAAATTCCTTCTGCTGGAGCTGTTTTGAGAACACGGAGGTGTTAGACATGCTGAATCCAAGAACCTAAAAGCAAAATCAGTTTGTAGGTTTCTGCCCCACGTCAATCAGAAGAAGGTGCCAAAGAAGTCCCAGTTGGAAAAGTGAGACTGGATGGGTCAAGCAGCACCCTATGTGGTTACGGGCGCTGTGCAAAAGTTTCATCAAAGACTGCAATCACATGTTTGTGTTTGTATGGCTATTTCAGACATGTGCAGGTGATTCTCCGCCATTTGTTCCCACAAGTTTCAGTGTTCACTTTGTGGCTGTAGAGTTCCTTTTTCATCACAATTTCACTTTTCCTGCCAGAATGGAGCGGTGAATATCTTCATCTAATGACACATAGCGGCCTCTACTGGAATCCAGAAAAAACAGCCTGTCCGATATTGCACTAGGATCAAAGCCTTCCCTCCGCAGCTCTGTCTTCTGAAACTTGAATGTTCCTTAAGAAATAAATGTATATATTTTACATTACATTTTTGTTTATATTTCACAAACATCTCAATCAGATTAGAATGTTTGCAATTGGATTTACCCGTCTTGTTGACCTCTGGTAGAAAACGGAGGAAAGCCGGTCGGGCGTATGGGGGAAGAGCCTTCTCCATGTCCTTCACTAACTGCTCCAGGTCACTGGACAGAGACGGGTCAGCGATGGCTGCCATTCCAGCCTTTCCTTCTGCTCCTGTGATCAAAGCCGCAGAAACAACTTAGCAGTGTTTTAAATAAGCACACATATAACAGCATCATCTTAGAGTCAGATTGCATGATACTCATGAAGCTGTTCTTAGTTAAGCACTAAGTGTTTGTACCTGGCACCTCTACTCCATAAACAACAACATCTTTCATGTCAAGCAACCGACTGAGTGTCCCCTCCACTTCTGTGGTTGAAACATTCTCTCCTTTCCAGCGGAAAGTGTCCCCTGTTCTGTCCTTGAAATACATGTGGCCATATTTGTCCATGATGAGCACATCACCTACAGCAGAAGAGGGCCATTAATTAAAATACCATGAATGTCTTATTACAAAATACTAGCAGTGTCATTACCAGAAAGATAGGCACTATCACCCTTCTTAAAAACACTTTGGGAAACCTTCTTGCTGGTTGCTGATTGGTTGACATAACCATCAAACCTGCGTAGTGGATCATTCTGGATAATCTTTCCTACTAGTTGCCCAGGTTCACCTGAAAAGAGGAATTATAATATGGATTAAGATAAACAAATGACATATTACCAGTATGTGTATCGTGAACAAGCTTTGCTGTTATTTGCATGTTTGCATATTAGATGTAAAAGTAGTATTGCTAATGCAGTGCTGTTTTAAATTCATTGATATATTGGTCAATAAACTTAATGTAAAGGTGAGTTCAACACACCAGGCTTGCAGGGAATACAGACACCATCAGGCCCTCGAATGAGCTCCATGGATTCCTCATCCACCCTCACCAGTCGGATGGGGTAAATGAAAGGTAAAATTTGACTGTTGAAGCCACATGCTCCGACCTAAACCAACAGTCACACAATACACAAAGATTATTGAAGTTGTTCCACAATTGCACCAGCCATTACCCATATTACCTTATTATCAAAATTGCCAAGACTGCAGTTACACTCTGTAGCACCATAAAACTCTGCAATCTGAGGGATGTTGAAGCGGTTCATGAACTCTTCCCAGATGGACTGGCGCAGACCGTTACCTAAAGCCATGCGCACACGGTGCTGTCGCTCGGAGTCCCGCACTGGCTGGTTCAACAGGTACCTGCAGATCTCCCCAATGTACTGAACAATCTGCACAAAAAATGCGTTTCAGTGACGAAGAAAAAATGGATAATAATGCAGATGAGAAGTGCAATGTATCCAATAGTGTCTGTAGATTTAGTTTTATTCACTATTCTGATGGAATGGCAAGTATTAGATTAACAAGATTATTCAATACATTATTAATAAAATGTAGCTCTAAAGCAGAAAATATATTTTATTTTAGTGTTGTTAAAGAACCAATCAACCTTTCTGAAGACTGCATGTCTTTGGTGTGACAGCTCTACAGAAGGCTCTACATACAACTCTGGTTCTTACAGTGCAGTTGTACTTGGCACAGTCATCCCAGAAACGTGAGGCAGAGAACTTCTTTCTAATGACGACAGTCATCCCATGAATAATACATTGGCCAACTCCCACAATGTTACCTGTAGGTACAACAGCAGCTTCATCAGTCATGTAAACACAATATACATAAAAACACTGTTAATTTGTTGTCATGGTCGGGAATTGATTCAATAAAATGATTAATGACAGCTTTCTTCTATGACTTATTTACCCCAATATGGCCACGAGGGTACCAGGGAGGGAGAGAGGAGAGTGAGGGTACCGGGGAGGGAGAGAGGAGAGTGAGGGTACCAGGGAGGGAGAGAGGAGAGTGAGGGTACCAGGGAGGGAGAGAGGAGAGTGAGGGTACCGGGGAGGGAGAGAGGAGAGTGAGGGTACCGGGGAGGGAGAGAGGAGAGTGAGGGTACCAGGGAGGGAGAGAGGAGAGTGAGGGTACCGGGGAGGGAGAGAGGAGAGTGAGGGTACCGGGGAGGGAGAGAGGAGAGTGAGGGTACCGGGGAGGGAGAGAGGAGAGTGAGGGTACCGGGGAGGGAGAGAGGAGAGTGAGGGTACCAGGGAGGGAGAGAGGAGAGTGAGGGTACCAGGGAGGGAGAGAGGAGAGTGAGGGTACCGGGGAGGGAGAGAGGAGAGTGAGGGTACCGGGGAGGGAGAGAGGAGAGTGAGGGTACCAGGGAGGGAGAGAGGAGAGTGAGGGTACCGGGGAGGGAGAGAGGAGAGTGAGGGTACCGGGGAGGGAGAGAGGAGAGTGAGGGTACCAGGGAGGGAGAGAGGAGAGTGAGGGTACCAGGGAGGGAGAGAGAAGAGTGAGGGTACCAGGGAGGGAGAGAGGAGAGTGAGGGTACCAGGGAGGGAGAGAGGAGAGTGAGGGTCCAGGGAGGGAGAGAGGAGAGTGAGGGTACCGGGGAGGGAGAGAGGAGAGTGAGGGTACCGGGGAGGGAGAGAGGAGAGTGAGGGTACCGGGGGAGGGAGAGAGGAGAGTGAGGGTACCGGGGGGAGGGAGAGAGGAGAGTGAGGGTACCGGGGAGGGAGAGAGGAGAGTGAGGGTACCGGGGAGGGAGAGAGGAGAGTGAGGGTACCAGGGAGGGAGAGAGGAGAGTGAGGGTACCAGGGAGGGAGAGAGGAGAGTGAGGGTACCGGGGAGGGAGAGAGGAGAGTGAGGGTACCAGGGAGGGAGAGAGGAGAGTGAGGGTACCGGGGAGGGAGAGAGGAGAGTGAGGGTACCGGGGAGGGAGAGAGGAGAGTGAGGGTACCGGGGAGGGAGAGAGGAGAGTGAGGGTACCGGGGAGGGAGAGAGGAGAGTGAGGGTACCAGGGAGGGAGAGAGGAGAGTGAGGGTACCGGGGAGGGAGAGAGGAGAGTGAGGGTACCAGGGAGGGGGAGAGGAGAGTGAGGGTACCGGGGAGGGAGAGAGGAGAGTGAGGGTACCAGGGAGGGAGAGAGGAGAGTGAGGGTACCAGGGAGGGAGAGAGGAGAGTGAGGGTACCGGGGAGGGAGAGAGGAGAGTGAGGGTACCGGGGAGAGAGGAGAGTGAGGGTACCAGGGAGGGAGAGAGGAGAGTGAGGGTACCGGGGAGGGAGAGAGGAGAGTGAGGGTACCAGGGAGGGAGAGAGGAGAGTGAGGGTACCGGGGAGGGAGAGAGGAGAGTGAGGGTACCAGGGAGGGAGAGAGGAGAGTGAGGGTACCAGGGAGGGAGAGAGGAGAGTGAGGGTACCGGGGAGGGAGAGAGGAGAGTGAGGGTACCGGGGAGGGAGAGAGGAGAGTGAGGGTACCGGGGAGGGAGAGAGGAGAGTGAGGGTACCGGGGAGGGAGAGAGGAGAGTGAGGGTACCAGGGAGGGAGAGAGGAGAGTGAGGGTACCGGGGAGGGAGAGAGGAGAGTGAGGGTACCAGGGAGGGAGAGAGGAGAGTGAGGGTACCAGGGAGGGAGAGAGGAGAGTGAGGGTACCGGGGAGGGAGAGAGGAGACTGAGGGTACCGGGGAGGGAGAGAGGAGAGTGAGGGTACCGGGGAGGGAGAGAGGAGAGTGAGAGGAGAGTGAGGGTACCGGGGAGGGAGAGAGGAGAGTGAGGGTACCAGGGAGGGAGAGAGGAGAGTGAGGGTACCGGGGAGGGAGAGAGGAGAGTGAGGGTACCGGGGAGGGAGAGAGGAGAGTGAGGGTACCGGGGAGGGAGAGAGGAGAGTGAGGGTACCGGGGAGGGAGAGAGGAGAGTGAGGGTACCGGGGAGGGAGAGAGGAGAGTGAGGGTACCAGGGAGGGAGAGAGGAGAGTGAGGGTACCAGGGAGGGAGAGAGGAGAGTGAGGGTACCGGGGAGGGAGAGAGGAGAGTGAGGGTACCGGGGAGGGAGAGAGGAGAGTGCGACTCCTGCTCACACACATACAGTATCTACAGAAGCATCTACAGACGTGAGAGGGGTCTAGAATGAATCTACCCAGTACTGCATTCATATATTTTGACGTGAAAAATGAACACAATTTGTCCACAAAATAATTTTCCCAGCTCTACTTTTTACTTGACTTTCTTTTCATAAATGCAAAACCAAACCGACTCACCAGCAGAGTGGTAGAGGGGAAGACAGTCGTACAGAACATCATCTGGTGACATCCTGAAGCCATAATACACCAAAGCAGCCATCCGGTAGTACCTTTGAGTCAAGCAGAGCCTTTCAAACCCGTTTATCAATGCCTCTTTGTCAGTGAAACTCTGAGTAAAACTATAGTTCTACACAGAGATAAAAAAGAACAGCTGTGTGTATCACAGAACCACATGACTCCGTCCTACCTGCTGTGAACAACAATCGCAGCTTTGGGCATTCCAGTGGTTCCTGAAGTGTAGATGTAGAAAAGGCGATCTAAACAAGATGTAACATTAGGTCTATGCAGATTTCCAAACAATTATTTGCATTAGTCTTTATTATTATTTGTACCACCAAGTTGTATAGAATGTGTTAAAAGGTAATATATTATGCTAAATAAATTCTTCTTTTTCAAACATTTTATTTGTATTGTTATTATTTGTTTGCCAAACAGCCGTAACCCTGGATTACAGCCTTCATAGTGCTCTGGTCTCTGAGTATCCTGCTGTACAGACAGCAAAATAAAGAAGACTTCCAGCTTCGTTTGAGAATTTAAAATTTCAAAAAAGACTTGGTAATCACAGAGAATGACACACAGCACTGGCAATGGGCAGTCGCTCATGTATTCTCTAGAACAGGACTAAACCTGGTCTGAACTATCACAAAGTCAGGATTAAACCAGGTCTGAACCAGGCCTAAACCAGGATAAACCGGGGTGGGAGTAGGACTCAGGGTCATGCCAGAAGGCCTGTCGGCCTCACACAAAAAACATGTTTGTGAAAAGTGTAAATCCGTTGGGAAATGTTCAAGGGGGCGTGCGTGTCCGCGGTACTTGTTGTACGTACTAGAGCGGGATTCCGCCACCTCAGCGGTCTCAGCGTTCTGGGGCAGCTGCGCCCGCTTTGTGAAGAGCGGTTCCTGCATCCAGCGGCTGTGAGTGGCTGGACGTTCACAGCCGCTCACCATGTGCTCACAGCCGCAACATGGCCATGTACCCAAGACCATATGCACGCACAGGACCATGCTCTGCTTGATGTGTGGGTGTCTTTGCGTAATCTGTGCACCTCCGCTCTGCATCTCCGCTCTCGCGAATAAACTCGCTAAATTAAAGCTCGGGTACCTAAACTTTCCATTACATTAAAAGTTCATGTTGGTTGTGGCCAAAAGTAAAATGTTCTGAACAAATCAAAAAGATTTAGTAACAGCCATTGGCTGACATTATGCATTTCAGACTTTTTTGACACGTCTAATTCTCTTCCCTGTAACAAACAATAGTGTTGTCTGTGTCCACCGCCCTCACTCTGAGACATGTTTATTACCAGTGGCGGAGCCAGAGGGGTAGCCAGTGTGGCCACTGCCACCTCTAAAAATACCCTTGCCACCCCCAGTGCCCCCCTCGGAAGACGGCAATGTAATAATGTTAATCTTGAGAATCTGCCGCACTTTTTCTGCCAAAAGCTAAAAATTCCCACGGTTTCCCCCGTCTGTGAACGCACCCTGACTCCTGTGGAGCCGGTGCTGTATGCTAATGTTTTGGGTTGTTGGACTCAAATGTGCCCAAGTCGTGATGAAAACAAAGAGGTAAGTTAGCGATGCAGAGCCAACCGTTTACATTTGACACAAAGTATAGACACACGTACTGCAGCGCATTACTTGTTCAGTTTGTAGAACTTTTAGTGTGTGTATGTGTGTGTGCGTGCCTGTATGCGTGCCTGTATGCGCGCCTGTGTGCGTGTGTCAGCGTGCCAGTGTGGGTCTGCGTGCCTGTGTGTGTGTGTGCGTGCCTGTGTGTGTGTGCGTGCCTGTGTGCGTGTGTGCCAGTGTGGGTCTGCGTGCCTGTGTGTGTGCGTGCCTGTGTGTGCCAGTGTGGGTCTGCGTGCCTGTGTGTGTGTGCGTGCCTGTGTGCGTGTGTGCGTGCCTGTGTGCGTGCGTGTGTATTTTCCATTATTAATTGCCCATCGTATCATCGCCCTCTTCCCTTTAGTGTAAACATGAAAAGAAAAGGAGGAAACATTGCCTACAGGCCTTTTTTTGTTAGGAAAAGGCCTGTAGATCAGGATGATGAAACCTGAAGGTCAGACTCGGAGGCAGTGTGTTTTAAGATGATGAGGAATTTGTTGTGTTGTATTAAAATATAGCTTATATAATTGAGTTTCAGAGAATGAGAAGGTGTCGCAGACAGGTGCAGGATTGTCTATTGGCAGAAGGCGTTTTTTCACACACAAAAAAGAAAAAAAACAGCTAAGATTATGGATGATGTGCAGTCGCTTAACCCCAAAATATTTTTGAAAGAAGAGCCCCTGTTTTCATTTGGCAGAACCTTTGAGTCAGATACAGAGGACCTTAAGCATGAGGTCAAACTAGGCGGCTTCTTGGGAGGAAAAAATTGATTAGAGAGTCCCTATTGGACTTCCTTGTCTTTTTGGAACGTTTGGAAAGTGTTTCATGAGCTTTTGAGGCTTGCAAAGATCTTTTAAATACCTGTCAGTACTGCGTCTTGTGAAAGAAGTTTCTCTGCCCTAAAACTTATTAAAAACCATCTCAGAACTACCATGGCAGATGATTGAGTCATCTTGGTATCCTCAGTGTTGGGTAAGGAGGCTCAGGGCTAAATATGGATGAGTTTGTCAACATCTTTGCTGCTTTACACCAGAATCGCAGGAATTTGCTAAATTTGTTAAAAGAAAAATGTAATGCAATGTTTGAATGATGTTATTTTGCACTTTTTTGTTCAGACTACTGTTTAAATACACTTTTTTGCTTTGTAGTTTCCAAGTGTGCTCTCAGTTCACTTTATATTAAAAATAATGACAAGATTAAGATTAAAATGTATCGTTTAGCCAGTTTTTGTGTGAAATAAAATTTCGGAATAGTATAAATGTGGACCCCTTAAAAAAACCCTTGCCACCCCCTGGCCACCCTCTGTTTAAAAGTCTGGCTCCGCCACTGTTTATTACCCTCTTGTAATGTAGACCATTGCACTTTATTTTACTGCTGACATGTATGTGCTTCCGCACACTGTATGAACAAACCGTAAAAAAAAAAAAAACACACCCGGGCCGTCAAGAAGGCAAAAATGCCTGGGCCGTTTTTGGTCCCAGTCTAGTCCTGCTAGGACTAAATCAGATTGTAATCAAGACTAAACCAGGTTACTTAACTGGTTAGAGCCAGCTCGGAAGCATCTCTGAACCAGAACTTAAACCAGGTCAAGAACTAAACAAGAACTCTACAGTTTAAGTGGGAAAGTATTTGAATGAAAATTACATCACAAAAATCTCACCGATAAAGCAGCGTTGGGGTTGTCTGGGTGGAGTGTGTGACGGGGCACTATCAAGCAGCGTCTCCAGACACTCAGTTCCTCGTGGGACTCGCTCTGGGACCCATTCTCCAGAGCACAGCATCAGAACGGCTTTCCTCATCGAACTGTGCACCTCAGACACAGCTGGGTGAAAAACAGACGTTCATTAGAGGGGACATCAAATTGGCTTGAATTTTCTTTGTGTGGAATGATCCCAACCAAAGTCTCCAGTGAACCGATAAAGATAAAAAAAACATTCAAAAGTGTTGGTACTAGTTAACATAGAACTCCCAGAATTCAGAAACTAAGAACTCCCAGAGCAGTCATTTTGACAGCTGCCATTCAAATTAATAAAATGTTAATCGTTAAAAGACGATTTTTTTTAAAATTATAACCTAAAATACTGAAAAAACAGTTTGTTAAATGGCTCCTAAATGCAATCAAGTAAACAGTTGTTACTACGGTAACTAACTCCAGGAAGTCATGTTTTATTACACAATAAGTCACAATAAACACAAAATCAGGACAAATCTTAATAATCTAAGATAGTGCATACTCTCTTTATGCACTTTGATAACGCTAAGTGAAATATGTGTTTTAGTCCTGATTTCATCTCCTCGCTCACATTGATATGATAAGAGTTCCTTTATTCGTCCCACAGAAGGGAAATTTCAATGTGAAGAGATAGAAGCTGTTAAACTAACCGGTCATGTACCATAGAGTGGAACGCACAGGTTTAAACAAGATGTATACAGTGGTGCCTCACCATTTTTATTGTGTGCTTCTCATGCACCGCTTGTGTACTTCAACAAAATCATATACAACAATTTAACCCCTAGTAAAACATGTCAGTTACCTTTAATTAAAGATAACTGTTATTTGAAGTCAGAAAAAAACGTATATGGCTTCAGTAACTGCATAGGTTTTCTCTGGATGTCTACCCTTTCACTGAAAACATGGACAAAGAATAAAAACTGGAGCTATTCATTAATTATCCTGATTAAGACTTAGGTAGAACTTTTTCTACTCTCATATGAAATACATTTCACTTACCCTCAGTCAGTTCAGAGCCAAACACAACAGCCTTGGCATTGGAGATGGTGACGCAGTGGACCAGAGCCTCAAGTCTCAGGTTGAAGTTGATGAGTGCGGCCTCCACTCCGATCTTAGCCATACCCAGCCACAAGCCCACATACTCGGCCCTGTTTTCCATGAAGAGGGCCACCACGTCTCCTTCCTACAAAAGCAGCACTCATCATCATCACTTACCTACTGACATGTAATAGCAACACAAAAATATATAATTTCATTAACATAGAGCGACTTACAGTAAACAGTAATTATTCAATCACCTTTTTTCAATTGGTGAAGTAACTAACGTAACCTTCTTCACAAATGTTACTGCCTTGGATTAAATCCTCCTGTCACTCCCTCAGACTGATGACATGTCCACATGTAGCCGGGTATTTTTAAAACCAAATATTCCCCCCCCTCTGTTTATAACTATTTTCATCCACACATGCTCAGTTGGTAGAGCATTGGCCTTTGAGCCAGAGGGTCAAGGGTTGTGTCCTTGTCAAGACACTTAACCTCTGGGAACACCAGCCACAGTGGGGCGGCTGCGGCTGTAAAGTGCCAAACTGCTGTTGTGTCCTTAAGCAAGACACTTTACCCCCATTGCCTAGAATGAGTCTGGTGTGTGTGTGAATGGTTGGTGGTGGTCAGACTGGTTGCCTCGCTTCTGTGTATGGAGTGAAAGAATAATGACATGTAAAGAGTCTTTGAGTGTCCAGAAAAGCGCTTTATAAAACCGATGCATTATTAAGATAAGATAAGAATTCCTTTATTCGTCCCACAGTGGGGAAATTTTAATTATTATTATTATAACCGAACATCTGCATTTTCAATCACATTCATAACATTCCAAACATGTGCGTCCTCTGACGTCCTGTCCGGCGTTGGGGGAAAAACACAGAAGTGGGCGGAGCTTTGATGCTGATCCCGGTACTTCTGTAGCGGCACTTTTACAGTCATAGTAGAAACTCAGGGTGAAGACATTATTATAGATCCATGGTGAAGACACAAGCACTGACCCTCGTCCTCAGCCCTGGTTTGATCCTGGTTTGATCCTGGTTTAGTCCTGGTTTAGTCCTGGTTTAGTCCTGGTTTAGTCCTGGTTTAGTCCTGGTTTAGTCCTGGTTTAGTCCTGGTTTAGTCCTGGTTTAGTCCTGGTTTAGTCCTGGTTTAGTCCTGGTTTAGCTCCTGTTTTGGTTGTTTTGGAGCGCGAGTCCCTGTGATCACTTTGCTGCTCTCTGATGTGGAGGATGTTCGCTGCTGAGAACCGCTCGCAGCAGGGAACAGTTTTTAAGGCAGTAAGATCCATGCTTCAGTGATCACAGGTCACACGTTTTTGTTTGTTGTTGTTTTGGAGCATACTGTGACGTGCGAAAACACAAAACTCCGGTTATCTCTGTCTACACGCAAATGCATAAACAGTTTTCAAAAATCTCCATTTTGCCCGGAGGTTTTTTATATATTCATTAATGATGCGTTATCATGTGGATGACAAGTGCAAACGAAGAAAAATATCTGCGGTTTAGCAGATACCCGGCTACGTGTGGACGGGGCCTGAAAAGTATCTTTTGAGTAAAATGAGTGATTATCATTTCCATCCAGAACTATTAGCATTAAACTGCATTAGAATTATATTTACTGGCATTATTGCATGAATATATTATAGCTGTATAAATAACGTATGACGTAGGCAGGAGGACATGTATGAGGTTCCAATCCCCCCAGGCCTAAACCCGGGGGGCGAGGGACACTGAGCAGATAACATGAATATTTTCCACTGAAGAGGCTGAACAGTAAATGCACAACAAGGACTGAGAGGCTCTGTAAAAATGAAGCTGTGAAGAAGAGGCTAACACTGATGAGCTCAGGAGCAGGTGAGACAGTGAGCACTGAACCATGTCTCCCATAATACGACCAAATAATATTGTTCTGCAGGCCAATAATGTTACTTGCTCACTGAATCCAAGTAATAATTAAATAATAGCAACAAAATACAATGCAATGAAAAACACTAGTTTCTTCATAGCTGCTATGTCTTTTTAGGGTATTTTTCTACTTTTAATGTGTGTTACATAATGTGCAGCCCTATAGGAAACATTTTAACCAAATTTCCCTGTAATGTGTGGGTTAGTTTTATGCACACCTTGAAACCTCGTTGTAGCAGAAGATTTGCGACTCGATTGGAGTATTCGTCGAGCTGTCGAAAGGTCCATTTCTCACCAGTGCCTTCAAAGATGAGCGCAGTTTTGTCGCCATGACGCTGAACTGTTTCTGCGAAAATCTTGGGGATTGTGTTCTTCTCTCGCAAGTGTCGCTTCACGTTTAGTTTCACTCGAAGCAACACATAGGCTGCACTAAAGGGAGATAAAAACAGGGTAAAAAATTATTACTAAACAAGTAATGGCACTAGTAAAATGTATGGGACATTTGGCGAGGTACTTTTGATCAATTTGTTTTGAATTTCTCTTACAGGGGAAGTATCTATCTATGTTGGTTCAAAATGTTTAAATATAAATTCTAACCGGTAGATTTGTTGGTCAATTTATGGATCAAATGATTTTCCATGAACTTCTTTGTTTAGCCATTTGAGGTTTTCCTGGAAGTTGCAGCAAAAAAAGAAAAAGAATTTATATAACATAAATTAAATTATTATGACTATTTTAGAGAACAAGTTTACAAAGCACCCAATGTAAAAAAACAAATCCACTTTGGGGGTATTACAGGTCTGACAAGTTTGGATCTTGTCTCTGTCCGCTCAAAGCTCCAGACCAAGTTTGTTAATGTCCCATACTACTCAAACTTTGTAACCACTTTATAACTACACACTATTCATGTTACTTTAGGATTTTCACACATGCAGCATAAATCATTGGATTCTGGAAGCGGTCTTGAAACTTGTGCAAGGAACTGTGAACATGAGTGAGTATCCGAGTACTCTGTACCCGACTAAATACATACAATTTTGATTCTTTTACAAGTTTGGCTTTTCCCTATGCACTTAAATGCACCAATGCCCTTTCCAATCCCATTCAATAAATGCAAGCTCAACTGCATTAGAATCAGCGCAGACCACCATATGGACTGTTTACATACATTTTAATCAATCTGGTTCAATTTGAGTAGGGGGGCAATTAGGTTTTCACTTGTGTTTTGCAAACTCGCTCACTAACCTCCAGGGTAGGATCAACCTTACATTTTGTGAGTAATGTTTGTTTGATTTTCATATTTAAGGCACATACTGTAGCTTCACTTTTGTCCTATTTCAGGAAATCGGAAGTGCTACATTATGTAGATAGACAAGCAAAAAGCACAAAGTTTAACAAACACTGGCAAAATTGAGATTTACATTTTGTAAGAGAGTTGGTGCAAAGGTTTATAGCACTTAAGAGAGATCAGATAACTGGCTGTAATTTATTGAATACAATCATGTGGATTAGATATACAGGTTTAATGTTGTAGAAACCAGCAATTCAGTATTTATCAAACAAATCCAAACCAATACAAAAGTACTAGATAAAACTATATAAGTCATGTTTTTTTTAATCCTATTTTAGTGAAAGCAACAGTCAATCATTAACCATAACCTAAAAACTCTTTTTGCCAAGTTAAAATGTTAAATGTTCAAATATTGTAGCTTTGTTAGTCTAGTATGGGATATGGTAGTATGGTCATTTTATTTACAGGCCAAAAAGTTTGACTGCCAATCTTGTAGCAACCGACAGTAAATATTAGCTTAAGGTAGAGGGACAATGCTGTGCCCTTCCCCCTTCATTCTTTGTCTGCAAGTACTCAACTAACAAGTTTTGAAAGAGAACCTTAAAGAAAAGACATGAAACATACTGCTGTATGGTAATAACCCGTGAAATTTAAAATAATATCCAATACGGTGTTTAGCCTGCTGAAATCTAGACTTTAAGGTTTTTTCTATATGTTCTAAAATTATGATAAAAACTGTGGAATCTGACAAGCATGTTTAGACGCTGCCGCTGTCATTTTTTTTCTACAAAACTACCTAACATATACGAGTCTAATATCTAAATAAAAAAGTATTTGGATACTATAACGCTAATGTTTATGGACGATTTGATATAACCAAGTATTCAAGAGTGCAGGATCCATGTCAAAGTCGTTGGCCCTATGGGTTAGGGTTAGAACTCTCGTGAGGTTTAGGGTTACAGTTGTTCAAACCAGGTCCAGAATTAACGTCTACACAGATTGATCGGATTGAGCACTGTTTATACTGTGTACAGAAAATCATGCTTACTGCAGGTCTCTTCCAACAGTTTTGGCAAATATTTGCAGAAAACTCCATCCTCCACTCCCCAGGTAGAAGATGAGGACCGCCGGAGTGACCTGGTACCAGGGCAGACCCACCAGCAGCCTCAGCAAAAACAGAAGTGCTGTGCAACAGGCCAGACGCATCATCCTGAAAGATTCAACACATGTGTAAATGAGACAGAAGACCTTGAGGCTGTCACAACAAAAACAAGCTACACAGGCCGACATGTCACAAGAACCTAGAAGCTAAAACAAGTATATCCAGTCAAAGTATGTCTTTCGGGACTAAAATAAAGACACTGAGACATGCTATAGTGTCAAGCAAAATGTGCCATTAAAAAGTAAACAAGGGAATCATCATCTTCTGGTATTCTGAGCATGTACACAAAAATAAGAATGTCTTCCTTGACATCTATGTAAGCATAAATCAACACTCAACACAGCATGCACTGTTCACTGCTACATGATGGCTCCAAGCTGGTTTACACACCACTTCTAACATATAGTATTTTTCGGGGTTGAAGTCTTAAGGAAACAGCACTTGCACCGAGCATTAATTGAATGGATGCAAGATGCTGACAAAGTAATGGGCACGCTATATCTGAAATGTGCTGCTTAAGGAGGTGATGTTTCCTTTACATTTATTTATTTGTGTATGGATGAGTCTAGGCACATTCAGGAAAAGCAAAAGGACATGACCCTGCTTTGACAGGATAGTGCAGATGCGCTGAAAGCAGCTTCATCATCATCTCTTGCTTTACCCGGAAATTTCAGAAGCGCTGCGCCTACAATGGATCATATTGCGGTATCCAAATGAGGCTCTGCCCACAGCTGCCAACACCATCTCTGTAACCGTGCCATGTGCTTTTGTATCAGGTTTTAGAATAGAATCATTAGGGGAGGGAGCGTTACGTTGTTGTGTGCTAATATCATGGAGCGCGCCTGGGAATCTGAATACATCATCTCAACCCAGGGATGATCAGAGTCGTCAGCTTAGTTGGAGAGGCTGATATGTCAGAAATGTCTCAGAGCTCAAAATGACTTCCAGCGAGACTGCAGAGAGTGACTGCAGTTTGCACACGCCAGGGATTGTTAGAATGAGCAATGCAAGCACAAGGTTGATAAAGGACAATGCACGCCACCTGGCTCTTGAAGCACAACCCCCATCCGTGAAACAGAACCGGGAATAAGCCACATACCTTTAACTATCTCTCTCGGTCACAACATGAAGGTGCGGGGAATCCTGCAGCTCGTTGTGTGGCTTCCACCTTTATCCGCTTACAGCCTGTTCGTCCTTTGGCTCCTCTCGGCTCCTCTCGGCTCCTTCTCGGCTCCTCTCGGCTCCTCTCGGCTCCTCTCGGCTCGTCTCGGCTCGTCTCGGCTCGTCTCGGCTCGTCTCGGCTCGTCTCGGCTCGTCTCGGCTCCTCTCGGCTCCTCTCGGCTCCTCTCGGCTCCTCTCGGCTCCTCTCGGCTCGTCTCGGCTCCTCTCGGCTCCTCTCGGCTCGTCTCGGCTCCTCTCGGCTCGTCTCGGCTCGTCTCGGCTCGTCTCGGCTCGTCTCGGCTCCTCTCGGCTCGTCTCGGCTCCTCTCGGCTCCTCTCGGCTCGTCTCGGCTCCTCTCGGCTCGTCTCGGCTCGTCTCGGCTCCTCTCGGCTCCTCTCGGCTCGTCTCGGCTCGTCTCGGCTCGTCTCGGCTCCTCTCGGCTCCTCTCGGCTCCTCTCGGCTCTCCGCACACGCACCGGGAGACCGTGCGACCGCTGAACACACGCCGGAGATGCGCTTGGCCTCCGCCGCCAGAACAGTTTTACCTGACCGCGCACGTCGACTTTGACCCAGCGTTCATCGTTCGCTCTCTATCGCAGCCATTCATAGACATTCTGCCGTTTATTGTTGGAGATAAGCTCGCTAGCGTAATTCAAATGACCTTATAATTTCCTTAGCTGCGCCCGCCCACCAGCGTCAGCATCCCACAGCGTAGAGAAGCCATTGATAGACGTGCGCCTTGACCAATCAGCTGCTCACACTGCGTTTACAGACACCCAGCAGAGAGAGGCGGGGCCTGCGGCACTGATGCAGGGGCTGCGCACACGAGCACACGGCTATGGACGCCTTCCAGTCTGTTTCCATCCGGTAGTGACAGGCCCCAGTGCCGTCAGAATAATGTGGCTGATCACATATGCATCACCGAATACAGGCGTCAAATGTATGGAGAATATTCCCTACTTCCACCAGCAGTGAACCAGTAAAGAAGAGCCAAGTAGGACTGGTGGAAATAGGATTGAAAACTGGTATGGACATGTGCGGGTTAGGGTCTTTGAATGGACATAACCAATTAATACTTAACCGTTCCAAACTATGCCTCCACTAGCAAATGTCTATAATGGGGAAAATGCCCAAAATGTCCTGGTAATGTTGGTAACAATGAAGCAATGAATTACTCAATTACTTTTATTAATCTTAGAAAGTGAGAAATGTACAAATGTATACAATGTATTTTCAAATAGTAACATCAGGACATAAAAATGAAATATAAATGTGATAATGATGGTGTCCTCTGACTCCATACAACACAAGTCTTGAGACGTTTCTAATGTGAAGGATCATACTAGGTTACTTCCTCAAAGAAAAGGAAAAACGCTTTTAAACAAGCAGTTGCTATTAACAATCTGTTTATAGCAACTACTTCAATCAGCACTTATGACCCGTCTGTTAAATGCTCTATTGACCTTTGGGCGTGATGCTTAAGAGATATGATAGCAAAAATTATGGCTATAAACAAAGATAAGCTGAGCATGCAAATGAAATGTGAACACTTTTCTGTTTTTGCTGTTTCAAAAGGACCAACAATGTCAGGGCTTATCTTTGACAGATAAGGGCACACCCAACAATACTCACTGGACTGGGGGCTTGTGTTAAAGTCAAGACAGGAAGTGGGTAATTCATATGTTCACACTAGTGCAAGAAAACCCCTGTACAGTTTCTTTAAATCCTCTTCAAATGTTCATGGCTGACACACTGCCATAACGGGACAAAAGACTAATTACAAGTGAATTTTCCACAAAGACATTAGCTGATGTTGGCTTGAGACCACAATTAGAAATTGTAAAGATACAAAAAACATCCAAATATTGTACATGTATACATTCAAGGTGCAAAAGTGCATTTTCTGTCAGTCATCTAAATCAAGTCCAAAGTGACTGTAGAGGTCCCGGGTGGTGGTTCCCCTCAAAGCAGCTACAAAACAAAACACAGGACATTTAGAAAGAGTTCACAGCATTTGGGCCAGTTTAGTCACACACAAAAAATGGCAGGAAGTATGAATATTGCAGCTGTTGAATTGGATGTATTGACACAAAAAAATAGGGGTGATAGTATGAATGCCTTGTTTAGGAAGGAACATTTCGGGGTAACAGCATCAGCATTAGCATTACATTTGTCTGGTATAGAAGAACCAATTACTTTGTAAGAATGCTTCATGAAGTTGGGCCAGTTGAATGTTTTGAGGAAATTTCAAAAGATTCTCTACATGTAATATAGTCATAAAAACAATCTGATGCCATTTAAGTCTGCAGTACCTAACTTCCATACCCAAAATATTGAACTAGTATCACTCATTTTTGCATGAATAATGCTTGACTTAAGTCACATCTTTAGATCATCTTTTTCTCAGACAAACAAGTGAAATAGAGAGGACCACCCTCAAAGACACACAAAGCATTCCTCTTTTAGAACTTTCTAAGTCTTTATGTTGGACAAACAAAATGCAAAACAAGTTAGATACTACATTTAAACAACACTCCAACAAAGGGATTCTACACTTTTATTATTTAGCATGGTTGGAAAAAAGATTTATTATTGATAATACATTTAACATTTTGCTTTGGGGTAGCTGGTATGTAATAACAGTAACTCTATATTTATCAAAGGTTTGTGTTCCTCTCGTCTAAATCCAGCAAGTTCTCTCTGAAACAGGCGATTGCTGCATATTTATAGGGGTGACTTTCATAAATATGTTGGTTTTCAGCCGCGGCATTAATCAACAGCCGCAGTTGCATACGCTCTGATCTCGGGCGGTTCTCACAAGTTCATTAATCCCACGGTGGATCTTGTGTATTTGAAATCTACACCCAAAATGTACACCCTTTTCTGCGCAAGTTTCATAAATGAGGGCCAAAGACACCAAGACATGTCATGTCCAGCTCACAACCCAAAGACACATCACTGAAACAGGTATGAATGACTTTTTATAACACCCGTGGCACTCTGTACCTCCTCCTTGATTTCCCAGCGGTTTTTAAAAAGTTCAGTATTTGTTAGAGCCAAAAACGCGTTAAGGTTTCTCCTCTACAGGGGCGGTATGGGACCAAGATGATGGCTGTTGGGCACAACCGTGAATGCATCCAGAGTCATCTCTGCATACCCACTCTGGCCATACGCCATGCTAGGTGCCATATATCATGGCGTTTCGCACACTCCCGGCACAAAAAAAACGTAGTTGGGTCGAATTCCCGTTGAGCTCTATGTTTTTTGGAGATCAGAGATCATCTTCCTCAGCATGATCTCCCCTTTAGCACTTGTCATTGCCAGGGTCAGATCAATAAACCTGCCGCATCACTACGGAGGCACCTCTTTGCTCCCCTTTATCCATAGTTATTGGTGTTTTGTACATACTCCTGCATCTATAGCCCGTCCGTTCGAGGGAGTGGATCCCTCTCTCAATGTGGTTCTCCCTGAAGTTTCTCCTTTTTCATCCTGGACTCCTCCCTCTGCACACCTGCGCCTGAGCTCAACAGCAATGAGCCTCACCTGAGCTCATCATCACTCCATAGCTGCATTTAAACAGAGCCTCTCAGTTCTCTGCAGCTCTAGCAGCGACCCACCTCCTCATGTCAAGTCTTCGGCTCAACTTCTTTGACACCAGGTTCTAGTCCCGAGGGTTCGCAAGCTCATAATTTCTATTAGACTCCCTTCTGCTAACCTCCAATCCTAACGCAATAATTATATTAGTACTCAATCGAAGTCTGCTGGTGTTTATTTATTTAAAACAACAATTATCTTGACAATAAATAATCAAGTGCAATCTTTCGAGTTTCTCCCGAATTAGTTATTGTGAATGTGACTAGAGTCTGATTATGGCTTTCAGATCATTTTCAAAATATTAGATTTTGAGGGGGGTTACAATCTGTCAATTCTCAACATAATAAATAAAGACTTGCTATATCTCACTTTTCATGTCTATCCTATTACTTTCACATGGTAAGTTTAATTACAGAAGTAAATGCACTTTTGAACAATATTCTTATTGTGCAAGTTTCACCCGTACATGCTTAAATAATTTTCAAGCAATGAAATTGGATTTTGAAATGATTTGATTTTGAACAGCAGAACTGTGATAATACATGTAATATGAGTCTGTATGCAGGCACTTTTGTGGAATCGTGACAAGGACAAAGGCGGCCTCTTTTAGGGAGGAACTAAGGGCCCTATATTCTATAGTGAGAGCAATGTCCTGCCCACGACCTCTCAGACTAACATAGAGTGAAGTGTCATAAACGTGTCTGTGTTCGACAGGGCAGATAGTGGAACGAGAGGAAGAGCGGTTTGTATTTGACACTGTGTATGGGTCACTGTACGCACGCATCTGTATAAAAAGACAGATGCAGGGATTGTGTAGCTGTAACTGAATGAATACCATTGTATAAGGAGAGAGAAACAAACGTCACCTCCGTTCACCATCATGTCATTCAGATTGTTAAAGTGTGAAATAAATCAAGAAAACAGAAGACAAAATCTCTGTAAGCATGAAATAATTAGGCACAAACTAAGCAACCTTAACAGAGATAATTTACAAATTTTAATTGCAAAACATTATTGCCATCCCAGAACATTAAAACTGCCCTCTAGTGGTTACCTCAAAATGTACCACTGTATTTCCTGGTTGAATGAAATGAGATTTATTATCTAACAATAAAAACTCAAAACATCATCTATGACTAACAATCACAAACAAACAAACCCTAGCAATTGGCCTCGAGTCTTTCTTAAAAACCTAAATCAAGGGGTAACGCTGATGGTAATTTTTAATAAAAAAAAAACAACAGAGGATACAATAATATACTTAGTCTTGCCTTGTTTTAAAAAATAAAAAAAATTGCACATTTCTCAAAATGTTATCAAAAATAACTTTTCCTTTCTTTTATATTGACTGAAAAAAATCGTAAAAATTAAGGTGAAGAGTGAAAAACACATTCGCTTCTCAGCAAGAAGGTCCTGGGTACGAATCCCAGTCAGAACAGGGTCTTTCTGTGTGAAGTTTGCAGGTCTTCCCTGTTCTGCATACATTTCCTCTGGGTGTTCCAGTTTCCCCTAAAACATGCACAATATGTCCTCCAGCTCCATTAGTCCTGGCCAATCCGAGCATCAAAATTAGGATCCAAAAGCACTGGCCAGGTCTCTGTTTATTGCCCTTCCTTGAGCTGTGTGGAAATGGGGGGAGGCCAGCAGCATCAGCACTTTTATCATTCAAGTCATTTAAACTTAAGTGCTCGTGTTGGGCTCTTTAACTCACTTGACTGCCACTGCCATTGACGTAGTAAGATTACATTTGGAGGCAGTTTGAGTGGTAAATGTGTCTCTAGAGCTGATATGGGCCATGTGGAGGGTCAGAGCAGCAGACCAACGGTGCACCCCAAAAATCTATTGCTAAAAAGACTATTGCTAAAACTATCACTGAGTCCGCACCAGGAGCCAGCGGCAAAGTCCAGTTATTGTCACAGCGCTCACTGGACTAAACAGAACAACACTCTGTAGATGTTAGCACACAAAGACACACAAAGACGCGCATAAACGCACATACATGCGTGCGCAAACACACAAAGACACAACAGTATTCCATTGCAGTTATAGGTATACAGTATAGTCTATTTACTTTGGTTTATTGTTATTTATAGTGTTGATCATTGTTATTTTCTGTTATTGACATATAGCGCCACCTAATGGATGAATATTGGCCATTCTTTCTGGCATAATTTGTCATGGGCTCTACTTTCAATATGTACATTTTGACTTTTTTGGATTTTTTGAAATATTCAACACTTTGTGGATGTGTGTGCCATAAAACGTATTATTTTGCATCAAAAACACTTTCTCATAATTTGTTGTTGCTGTTTTCTAACATGTAAGATCCTGGACATGTTTGAGGAGACGCTAAAGTTAAACTAAATAGTCTTACAGTCACTTTTCTGCAGATTTGTCTGTTTTCACAAACACCTCATTTTCTCAGCTTTTTTTCTAAAACTGGTGCTTTTAGACTGGAGATCACAGGAGAACGTAACAAGCTAGAAACAAACTTCTTTTTGCTGCTGAAAGTAGACAGTCCAGTCTTTCAGACATATTTTTCAGTCATAGAACGCAATATTCTGTGAGTCATGAAAATCAGTGGTAATCAAAAAATGGCTGGCAGTCAATACGTTAAGGAGCTCTACAGTTGAAATAGTGACATTATCAGGCTTGTATATCTGTATGTATATATGTCTAGTTGACCAGGGCAAAACCCAGGTTTTCCAAAGAAAATTTATATTTCTAGACCTATTTGTAAATAGTACAAATAAAAATGTGGTCAATGTTCTCTTGGATCATTTCTGTGTATTTTTTGACATGTGTGTCACTAATAAACTACCGGCGGACTCTGCAATTATTAGATGAAGACTCATATGAACACACAGGCGCACAAAGGTTTTTATGGGCGACTTTCAATGCAAAGTTAATGATGACGTCTGTTTGAGTGTGGAGCAGCATGTGTGTCACTGCACGCACGGACTGCGCGGCAGAGGCGGCATTGTGGCGCGGCATTGTGGCACGGCATTGCGGCACGGCATTGCGGCACGGCATTGCGGCACGGCATTGCGGCACGGCATTGCGGCAAGGCATTGCGGCAAGGCATTGCGGCACGGCATTGCGGCAAGGCATTGTGGCACGGCATTGCGGCACGGCATTGCGGCACGGCATTGCGGCACGGCATTGCGGCACGGCATTGCGGCACGGCATTGTGGCACGGCATTGCGGCACGGCATTGCGGCACGGCATTGCGGCACGGCATTGCGGCACGGCATTGCGGCACGGCATTGCGGCACGGCATTGCGGCACGGCATTGCGGCACGCGATTGCGGCACGGCATTGCGGCACGGCATTGCGGCACGGCATTGCGGCACGGCATTGCGGCACGGCATTGCGGCACGGCATTGCGGCACGGCATTGCGGCACGGCATTGCGGCACGGCATTGTGGCAAGGCATTGTGGCACGGCATTGCGGCACGGCATTGCGGCACGGCATTGCGGCACGGCATTGCGGCACGGCATTGCGGCACGGCATTGCGGCACGGCATTGCGGCACGGCATTGTGGCACGGCATTGCGGCACGGCATTACGGCGCGGCAGAGGCGGCATTGTGGCACGGCATTACGGCGCGGCAGAGGCGGCATTGTGGCGCGGCATTGCGGTGCGGCAGAGGCGGCAAATTGACACAGGCTGGAGATAAACATTGTTGAAATATCCACCAGTCGCACGTGCAGCGACCAACCAGAGAGCCGCAAAGTGCTTAGGGGGTCACTTGCGGTCTAGAGCGCAGACTGAAAATACTCGTAAACAGCCAAAACAGGAGCTAAACCAGGACTAAACCACGACTGACAATGGAGTATACAGTGGTTGTGAACATATGCTTCCAGCCTGAGTTCTCATTCTCCTGTGACTGTAAACAACTGCTGCTAACGTATTTACCAATGCGGAAGTACCGCTTAATAATAAAATAAACTTATGGTGCTACTCTGTGAACACATACTGCTGATATATAAAGTCTCTGGACGGTCTCTGGACACAGAGACGCTGCAGAGCTGCATTCTTGGAGAAGAACATTACACAAATAGCCGTCAGCTTAACTCCGTTAGGATCAAAGCTCACCCGCCACTTCCACCCTGCGTTTTGGGATCTATGTCTCACTGACTGCAGGAGAACAGACATCAGTGGACTCACTTCTTTATTGCATCCAAAACATGTTTCTCCTGCTAAACCGATGTGCCTCATTTTACATGTGTTTGTATTTTATCTTTTGTAGTATTCGCAGTATTCGCAGTACTACAAGTAGTAGATTTTCCTATATTTTCCAATGGGTCTTTTTGAGTGACTGCAAATGCATATGAAAAAAATTGCTACAAACTTTAGAAGAACTATAATTTGAGGTCCTGCACTGAATCATTAATCTCACAATGTTTTTTGATTAAAGCATAACGGTCACATCTCACCTATTCGACCAAGAAGCGACTGTCCAATGTCTTTTATGTCATTGTACTCGTGCAGCTTGTCAATATGATGATCCAGCTCCTCCATATTGTACCCTCTGCAAAACAAGTTATCATTAGATTTTGATGATAAAATGCAAACAGACATATAATACACATGATGACAAATCTTAATTAGGAAATTCTGGACAAACATGAAAAAATATAACAACGAGAAAAGTAAACATATAATGATTGAACAGCCCTGTTTTTGAGCTTCTTTTTTTTGAGAGATTTGGCACTTGTCCGACTTAACCATATTCATTATGGCCTGCCAACTAAAATAGTTTGGGCGCCCCTGCTATAGAGCTTATTTTCTGTTGCTGTTTCTTACAGTACAAACTCAACAGGCCTCAACCTCCCCAACCTTTCCCCTTAATTCCGAAGAACAGACTTTTTTTAATTGGACGCAAAACAAAAATACAGGCAGAATAAACAGGCGCAGCTGCACTCACTCAGCCTCCAGCAGGGATATTTCACGGTCCAGCTGATCTCTCTTCTTCTTCAGCCCAGACACCTCTTCCTCAGGGTTAACTTTAGTGCTTCCTGGTACTTGAAGCTGAGGTACAAAACACAATATAAAGAGAATTAGAGAATTCTGTGAAGATGCTACAGTTTAAGTATGCAAATGAACGCCAGGTTAATAAACCTTTTTTTTCTTCCGAATGAACAAACACATGTTGTTTGTCCCAACAGAAGTATATTGTTGTCAAAAAAATGACACCACAACATGTTATTTTTTACATACATGGTTAGTGGCTGTTTGACGATTGGGCTGAGGGTGAGTGGTCCTCCCTCGGCCACTTTTCCGTCTTAAAAAATCTACAGTCGTGATTGAGGCCAAAATGTTAAAGTGGTTCTCACCCCCGCTCCTCGGAGCTTACGTCACTCACATTTCCTGTTCAAATCTTCCTCTAAATGGGCGTAGCCTGGAGGACTAAAGGGGGCGTGAACGAGACTGGGCCGTTTACATTGCTCTGGGCGGGGGGCTTCAGACGTCAGGTCCAACTTCTGTGCCAGTGTTGGCGCCAGATTCAAAATTCAAATGTAGTAATACAGGTCACCAGCAGATGGCGCCTCACAGACGGTTTTAGGCAGAAAGTTTAACTTTCAACTAATTTGCACCAAAGTGACAAAATTATGACCAGGATATGTAGGAAACACTATTGGACACTCATTTATACCGTTTATCAGCAAAAAAAAGTGGATTTGAGGGTGAGTTGTCCTTTAAGTACGTGAAAACTAGCGATATGACCACTCGTTCGAGACAAGAACCAGTTAGATGGATTTGATGACAGATCGGTAGTTAATTTTAGGGTGGATGGTAAATATGTGCACTCACCGGTGATTTGAAACTGGAGTATACTCTCTTCATCTTGGAGTAGGGCGTTCTGGAAAAGAATTGTATATTATTAGAAATTTCAGAGTAGTTTTCCCCTTTTGGATTGGTTTACAGAGCACAAACTGTTGGGATGGATTTTCTTCTGATCATCAAACATCAAACACACTAACAGTTTTTATCCACAGGCTGTTATCAGTGTGAACAGAGCACTTTAATGATTTGCACTTGTTTTGAAACTGTTTTTAGTCGATCCATTTCACAGTGACATTTGTTTACTGTTTTATTTGTTTTATTTGTGTCTTTTAATGTTGTTTTATGTCTGTATTTGTCTGTGCACACTGGAGACTTTTTGCTGATGTATTCCAATGTGGTGTTTTTACTGCAAATGGCAAATAAACTGAACTGAACTGAAAAGAATGACCAATTGAATGTGACATGTGGGTGGCATCGCAGCTGATATGAGTGGGTTGCTCATTGATAGGAACACACAGCTGAGGCCCAGTGTGTGTCTCTCTCTCTTATGACATATTTTAAGCATTTATTTATTTGGAGTATGCCTGATTTATATGCATCCCTACAAAAAACATGACGGTGTTATGAAGCTAACACAATATCTAGAGCTGAATTATCTCATAGATCCTTACTAATACTAATAATATTAAATGTTATTGGTACTGCACTTTTCAATTGAACAACTCAGTGGTAACTTAAACACCCACTATAATTTTGTTGCATCGTAGCCGTTATAAATTAAGTATAACTCAAGTTTAGTCTGCATCTTGATGAGCCAGAATTAAAAAGCTTTCTACACCTGAAGGATAAATATGTTGCTATCAAACAAACTAAAATCTTTTTTTCTGAGATAATAAGAACAAATCAGACGATAAACGTGATCCTATGTTGAATGTTTCAAAAATTATTCATTGAATAATACTGCACATCTGTGGTTAGACAATTATTCTTTTAATTGTTGTGTGTGTGTGCGTGTGCGTGTGCGTGTGCGTGTGCGTGTGCGTGTGCGTGTGCGTGTGCGTGTGTGTGCGTGTGTGTGTGTGTGTGTGTGTGTGTGTGTGTGTGTGTGTGTGTGTGTGTGTGTGTGTGTGTGTGTGTGTGTGTGTGTGTGTGTGTGTGTGTGTGTGTGTGTGTGTGTGTGTGTAATAGATCCATGGTGTGGTGTTTTGGCAATAGGTTTGAAAGGCATATTGAGACATGCCTCTGAAGCAGGTTGCAAAGCCGCCACAGTGCTCCTGTAACACCATAATAACTATAAATATAAATATGTAGAATATAAATATAACAGTAGAAACTTGTGCTGACCTGCTGTGATCCACTCTGACGATGAACTGAGATCTTTGTTCAGAATTAAGGGATTGAACTGAATCCATTTACTTAAACTGGGTTGTTTGTTTAATTTAAAGAACTATAATAAACTCTCGTGTTTTGGGCATTGACTGTAAATATTGATTGGAACAGGAAGTGCAACATCTTCTTCTGTTGGATTTATGAGCGGATGACAACAGCTCCAGCTCATTACTGCCACCCTCTGGATTTATCTAAAAAGCACCAATAATAATAATAATATTAGGAGATTCATTTTGTTGAAATTCCTTAGAGTCTATTGATCTGGAAACTATGCTTACAAGCCAGATATGGCACTTTTTATTTCAAATGTTAAATTTTCAGTATAATTTACAAAATAATCTTTATGAATAAAGTCTGTTGTAACATAATTTGGCAAGAAGCCTTTCAACATCACAACCACATTGCATTTGAAATCACAAACATTAACACAGATCAAGGAAAAGCTCTGAATGTAATGTAATGTCCTTCTCAGACATAACAATAGAATTGGCATTGCATTTTTTTATTACTTGTGCAGTCAGTTTGTATTTTGTCAAAAATCACAATGTTGTAGAGTAGACAATATTGTATCAATGTCTATAATACGAGCAATAACCCAAACTTGAAGTCTTTTAAAATATTTTTCTTCTTGTCTATACCAACGGATATCAATTGTTTTATACAAATTTACACATTTTTCATATATACTGTATATATATATATATAATCACAGAACAATCAATATAGTCTTGTATCTATATATACAAGACTATATTGTTTTTCTTTTTTAATTATCTCTGCATGTACTACTGCAACAAACCACAAGATGGCAGCAAAGTAATACCATCTTTTTGTATAGTTGTCTTTACATTTGTTTCGGTCAAAAATGTATAATATTTAGTCATTTTCATGTATCTATAATAAATCTCATACATTATTGTTGGTCCTTAAGCATTATATTGAGACTAAATACTTGTTTTACATTCAGAATGTGAAATATTGTGTAGAACATAAATGGATAGACGTGTATGACATTTGCTCTCTACTTATGATTTTTTATCAGAGAGAAGAGTTGATTTTAAACCATTTCATACAGAAAATACACCCTCATGGTTTCACATCAAAAATAGACTAAAATACTATAAATTCAGGGGCAAAAAACAGTTGTTAACTGTAATTTAAGGATTCAGCAGTACCATGTTGTGAAGTTCCTATTTTTTATGAAAAACAACATTGTCGTGTGAAATTTAGTTTAATAAGGCCATAGTGAAAAAAACAAAAGTATCTATTTATATTTATACAATTTTACATAAAACAGGAAGCTGAATAGTGAATAGTGTAATAATACAGTTCTGAGATCTCATTCTCAGAAACTGAATACTCTGTCCCAAAGTGTGCTCTAGGACCCATGTATCCCAGAGGCTCACTGCACAGTCATTTAGACTAGCAGGGACCAGAGTTTTTTTGCCGGTTAAGCCCGGTTTTAGCCAAGCAAAGATATTGCAACACAGAACAGGTCCACAGTGTATAAATAAAGATTACTTATTTACACATAGCTCTTAGAAAAGGAGCAGAAAACACGAGAGCTGGACTGGTCTGTGCGGGAAAGTCAGACCCAATTTTATTTTTGGTTTGGTTATTATTTAATCACTAGAGGTTCTTAAATAATATAAAATATACACATTATAAAATATAAAGTAGGCATAGGCTAAACAATTGTTTTGTTTTGCAGTTTTAAATGAGCTAGCCGTGTTGCACAGTAGGAACCTGTAAAATAACTATCCTTTATCCTTTAGCACAATGTTACGTGAGTCATTTACAATATCGGCTGGCAAGTGAATCGTAAAAGTATTTAGCGGATTATTCAGAATTTCTAAATCCTTTGGGGATCCATATATTTGAGACCCCTGCTGTGATAGAACATGAAGAACACAAATGCATAAGCGGCCATTTACGATGAAGCAACGCCCAAAGAGTGATTATGTTTCTAAATAAGAAGAAGGTCCTTTGTCCCATAGTCGGGATATTTCTGAAATAACTCACTCAACTCAGAGTAGACAGCAGTCCCCATCAAGTCATGAAGGTGAAGGTGCTGTGGCTGGATACACAACATTGTGTATACGTGGAGAGGCCATTGTCGTCTACTCTTCACATTATGTGTTTTATTTGCATATTTATTAAACCAATTAAAGGGCTGTACTTGATCATTAATTTAGGAGGTGTCCTGATGCTGTATAGTAAAAAGGACTGAATGACTTTCTGGTTTCACAAACCGAAACGCAGACCGTGCTCAAATAAACATACCTTTTATGAAAAATCCCTGTGTTTATGCATAAAATCACATTATTGTTTAGTAAAAATAAAACAATGTTGGTTAAATAAGGGAATGCAGTGTTTGTCATGGCTTGATTAAAACACATTTGATAAATATTGAGCCTCGATTTGAGCAGTTTTCACATAAAATCTTGTAATTGACAAAAATGCACATGAAGTCAGATTTATTTGAAAACAAATATTGATATGATTTATTTTCACTATTATTACAATCTGCTCGACTCCAGGATGAAGAGATCTAATGAACTAATGAAGTTCTATTTAATCACAAAAACACCTGAATCCTTTCTCTTCTTGGTGAAGAACACTTTTAACTACTTGTACACATATTTAAGGCAGTACATGTCTTCCACATTAGACAACTGTTGTGTATGCATTTGGTTTATCTTTAATCCGACAGAATCACTTGTAGATACATGTTTTGTCAGTTTGGGGGTGTTGTAACCATCTGTGTGTGCCTTGTGTATAGTGTGTGTGCCCTGTGTATAGTGTGTGTGCCTTGTGTATAGTGTGTGTGCGGGTGTGTTTGTCCGCAGAATTGATTTAAAACTACTGGACCTAAATCATGAACACTTTAAATACATGTATACATTAGAAAATATAAAACTAAATTATAAACATATTCATTACTTACCAAATTAAATGATATTCAAACAACTTGTCTTATAAATGTTGTGGAATGACAAAAAACAATGACTATGATCAATGCCATGGACTTTTATAATGTTTTATTAGCAACAATGTTTTCATTAATATACATTAAAAACAATGACAGAAACATTTCTGTTGCACTGAGACAGAAAACCTTCAGAATCAAAAAAGAATCATCAGATATTTAGTTCTGCATTAGTTTACATGTATCATAATAATCATATTTAAACTCTGAGAGTTATTATGGCACTGTGTTTCCTTTGCAACGGCCACATTGGAAAGCATAAGAACTGTGTATGTGTGTGTGTGTGTGCGTGTGTGTGTGCGTGCGTGTGTGTGCGTGTGTGTCTGTGTATGTGCGTGTGTGTGCGTGTGTGTCTGTGTATGTGCGTGTGTGTGCGTGTGTGTCTGTGTATGTGCGTGTGTGTGCGTGTGTGTCTGTGTGTGTGCGTGTGTGTCTGGGTATGTGCGTGTGTGTGTGTGTGTGTGTGCACAAATCACTAATGAGTAAACACAAAACACCTGTAATGAAAATGTTCTAAATAACTAAAAATATAAAACATGTAGAAAACAGAGAAAGATTATGATCATTTTGAACAACAACATGATCTGTCCGTTGTCCTCTTCGAGCAGTCCAAGCTGTGAGAGACTTGAGGTGAAAAGCGGATAATCTTTTGAGCTTTAGAGAGAATTTCTGCAACGGTAAATACCAGATAAATAAAACCAGAATATTGAAACTAAATGATATTAAATAGGGAACAAAAGCATCTGAAGGTGAAACTCTCAATATAATAATGTTAAAATAGAATTACCAATATATTTAAGATGACTTTCTACAATTAGATGGAATCAATATGAACTTTGGTGGCCAAAGGTTCACATTGGTAGCCTAAATGTAAACAGTCTGTCCCAGGGCAGCTGTGGCTACAGTACAGTTGTAGACATACTGTGTACCGTGAGTGAATGAATAATGAAATGCAAAGCACTAACAAAAAGTCTTAAAGCTTTAATTTGTTATAAATATATTGTATGAATAGATTATGACCATAAAATATTACTTTTATAGTCTCTCATTTAAAAATATAGTTTATTGCAACCCACTACTGGGCAAAATATTCATAGTCACAGTCACAGTCACAAAAGAACTGCTCGAAAACTAACACGGACACGCACATGCACTCCAAACAAACATGTGAGCCCCTTTGGCAGACTGTCTTCTGCTCCAGAGCACTGTGGCTTTACATTAGCATCAGAAAGAGCTCTAAAAAGTATGTGGAGAACAAGCAGAGTTTCATCTTCAGCAAGCCCTTCATGTCTAAAGGAGAATTGTATGGCATTGGTTTATAACGGTCATCTCACGCACCGGTCAGACCCCACCGGTCAGACCCCACCGGTCAGACCCCTCTGGTCAGACCCCACCGGTCAGACCCCACCGGTCAGACCCCTCTGGTCAGACCCCTCTGGTCAGACCCCACCGGTCAGACCCCACCGGTCAGACCCCACCGGTCAGACCCCACCGGTCAGACCCCACCGGTCAGACCCCACCGGTCAGACCCCACTGGTCTGAGGCCCTTTATCTGAAGATGGAGGAACAAACATCTGGCACACAAAGGGGGTAACAGCATTCCCCAATATTAGAGTTAGCAGCTCTACAGAGAAATCTCTGCTCATGATGTTTTAACATGATGCCAATCAATCGTTTATGTGTCAGAGAAAGAACAAAATAGAAATAGAAAATTTACAACATCCTATTTTTTTTTAACTTAAATTAGGTTTATGTTCAGGACATGGTACCATAGAGTCCATTCCTCCATGAGCTCAGACAGCAGACACTATGTGAGAGGACTGTCCACAGCTAAACATCGGTGCTGATGCTACAGCTGCGCTGGAACATGTCCCTCATGGTGACAGAGCGGGCCAGCTGAGGCTTGCGGTAGTTTGTGATGTTCACAGGCACAGGCAAGTCCATCTCTTGCTGCTGGACGCTGCGGTAGCTGATGCGCTCCCCTCCATTTCTCAGCCCATCTGGCTGGTGGTGCATCTGAGGCGGCGGGGGCTGAGGCTGTGGGGGCTGGAGGTAAAAGGGCAGATCATAGTGTGTACATGAGGGACAGAAGGTCTGTGAGCGAGTCAGTTTCCTGGCCAGAGGCGGAGTGGAGAACAGAGCGGGGCCATTGGGGATGGCCGAGGCGGCTGCAGTGGCCGCCACTATGTTGTGGTTAGAGTGAACAGGGGGGAGGCGGGACGTGACGGCAAAGTCTGGCTCCTCCTCCTCCGACTCGAGTTCCTCCTTCTTACAACAATAATACTGTAAAGAAGAGAGGAGTAGTTATGGGCACATATAGTTTGTGGTGTTTGTGTGTTCACTATTAGCTTTTAGCAAAGAGTGAAAAGGTTATGTTCTCATGTTATATAACAGTTTATACATTTCTACACATTTTCATTGGATATTGAAAGAATACAATGTTTGGTATAGACAGTCATACTATGTAACATTTCTGACCTACAGTGGATCCCAAGAAACAAGTAGCACTGGGGCTGATCTGTGTCTTACCTGCAGCCTACAGTAGCACAGTACTGCGATGATAAGGAGTAGTATAACTGTTGCTAGGATTCCACCGGTGATGACCACTGTCCCGGCTGTCATTCGAAAGGCTCTCCATCAACACCCTGCAAACACACACACAAAAACACACACACACACACACTTCCATTAATGTGGTGGTCTCCAACCCTCAGTCCTGGATCTACAGCCTCAGACGCACATCTCCTCAGTACAGAGGCATCATTAAATAGATTATAAAGTGTGTCATTTCCACAGTGCTGATTGAATTATCCACTAGTTATGAGACGAGAAATAGAATCAACACTAAACGGTGCCCAGAACTGCCTTGGCTCACAACAAACTGATAAGTGAAATCAAATCCAAAGAAATTCAAGATTGTTTCCAGAAACATGAGAATTCAGCTTGCAGCACAAGTTAGCCCACACAGACACAAACTCAACTCTTAGGGATTGAAGTAAGAAAACACATGTTGAAAAGAATATGAAGAAAAATAAAGTCATGTGTTGATTTGTATCATAAAAGATACACTTTGGAAATGTTCAGTAAAAAAGATGCTGCTATGACAATGAGCAGGATTGTTTTCGTCTAAAATTTGACACAAGGTTTGACCCTTGTCTTGACGGAGTTAAATAAGTGAAAAAGACAACAAAACAGGGTTTGTTACGGCAAAAAAGTTAGCAATAAATGTCAATATTTGATTTATTGTTTTATTTGGTTGGGACAGTACATGTTATTGAACACATCACCACGGATTGTAGCAATGGGCTAATTTCAGATTCAAATTCATTTTATTTGCCATTTGCAGTAAAACCACATTGGAATACATTAGCAAAAGTCACCAGTGTGCACAAGACAAGTACAGACATAAAACAAATAAAACAATAAACAATTGTCACTGTGAAATCGATTGACTAAAACAGTTTCTATACAAGATCATTAAAGTGCTCTGTTCACACTGATAACGTTAGCTGTTAGCGTAACGAGATGTCCTGCATCTCAGAGAGCGATCCTCTTTGCAGAGCGGAGCACCTTGTTTAAGGCTCAGTCACCCCAAATTATTGGACATGTTTTTAGTGGTAGGGGAAACCGGAGTACCCGGAGGAAACCTACACAGACACGGGGAGAACATGCAAACTCCACTCAGAAAGGCCCTGTTCCGATCGGGATTCGGACCCAGGACCTTCTTGCTGAGACGTAAGTAAGTACGTTTTTTTTATTTTTATATACCGCCTATAACAAAACAGTTTGGTTACATCACCAGGACACATATGCATTCATGTTTGGCCTCTGTCACTCTTGCTCATCCCTCAACTCTCAGCCCAAAATGTGAAATACACCTCACAAGCCCACCCTTGCGCTATAGATTTCAGGTTTGTTGCTATTTCAGATTTTAATAAGGTAGATTCAATAATATTGTTCAATACCGCCTTACCATACCATCATACTAACTAGATTTTCTCTAGATTGTACCATACCATCATCTGGATTTTCTTTAGCAAGTAGTAGTAGTAGTAATCTTTATTTATATACCGCCTTTTCACTGCAGATCTGAGTCTCAAAGCGGTTTACAATTGTTAATTTTGGGCATTAGTCTCTCACTCCACACAGAGATGGGAGCGGCCAGTACAGGAGGCACATGCCAGAACTATTGTGCATGTTTTTAGTGGTAGGGGAAACCTACGCAGACACAGGGAGAACATGCAAACTCCACTCAGAAAGGCCCTGGTCCGACCGGGATTCGAACCCAGACCTTTCTTGCTGAGACGTGAGAGTGCTAACCACTCAGCCACCGTGCCGCCCATAATACTCTTGCATATATTGACTTACAAAGCATATATGTCATCTCTAGATATTTTAATTCCCAAATGATCAACTTGAACTTCACTGCTGCTGGAAGATATTTAATTATGTTTTGTTTCAGTCGTTTTCAGTAAAATAGGCCCCTGTTGCGCTCCAGTGCTGTAAGTCAGCTAAGAATGTAGACATTTAAAAAAGGGTCCAGATAAAGATAGAGCAGAAAGTGTAAGAAGAATAAAATATACTGAGGTGTTCTGAGGTACACAAGGTTCCTTCCAACAAATTCCTTCAATTTCACAAGGCTGTTTGTGTCCACAGACAGAAAAACCCTCTTAGGTCGATATGACTCATGCCGTACAATAAGTTTTTGCATAATTTATTGTTCCCGGGTGACCCCTCCTGCTTCCAGCTCTCCCTGCTGGACCCGCAAGCATCTGTTGTGGTGCATGTCATAAGACCATGTCAGAACTGTTTCATCAAAAAAATGGCAGAGGTTTAGACAAACTTTAAAAACAGTTTACAAAAATCTAGGTTCTAAAGTATTTTTTGACTCACAGAAAGTTTCCATTGGGTTTTATTGAGTATTTATGCATCATTCAGAACTAGAGAGAGACACGGAGCCAAGATGGAGACCTGCTTCCTCATAGCCATGGTTGGACAGCCAACTGATCCCACTGATCAACACAAACAACGATCATGGTAGAAACAATATCACATACTGCCTGCATCCAGGACCCTCCCATAGACGGCCTCCTGTGGTGTTTGATGAATGCTGCAGATGAATTCAAAAGCATGCTGCAGTCTATGTATTTAGAACATCATCAGGAACATGTACAGGTCGTGTACTCAAGGACAGGTGAGCGAGTGGACTTAGCTTGTCGAATGAAGATGCTAATAATGCTACAGTGGAACCCCTGCTCCCCCAGCACGTGTTAATGTCAATACCTCAGAAATATCCACCGCAGAGTGAGTGACTTGAAACTTTACAGACCCCTATTCTTGATTCATTAGATTGATGTAATTCTTTAATTATGTCTTTTCAGGCTACAGCAGCAGGATTAGGACTGGAGCTTATAGCAGCATTTGTTGTATCTCTTTGAAGAGCTGCAAATTAACTCATTGTGTCCCATTGACGCACAAATACGTCAAAGCAAATAGTAACGTCGTGTGCCATTGACGCATTAATACGTCAATTGCCTTTTTCGCTATGTTCACGTTCCCAGATATCTATTGTATCTAATATGTATGGGGATGACTTGAGACCATATTTTATCGAGCCAGCAGGTGGCAGCATTGCTCTCTGAATGGTTTGAAAACATGTAGGTGCACATGTTGTGCCTCTTTTTTCTCAACTTTCTGGTGATTTCTGGTGATTTCAGTAAAACTTCCCTCTACTCGACGGAGGATTACAGGGGAACGAAAAAAGATATAAACAAAATTATTTTTGCTGAGGAAAGTAGACAGTCCATTATTTTAGAATCTGGTGTCGGATTTCAGACAGTCATAGTACACAATATTCTGTGGGTCTTGAAAAATCAGTAAAAATCATCAGAAATGGCTGGCACTGTGGGAGTACCTGTTCTGAAATGGGCTGGCATTCACAAACACTACCATTCAAAATGTCAAGAATAAATACCCGGCAAACTCGTCCTTCTGTGTGGACATTTTTTTACATGATGGTTTCTTATATGCATTTGAGGTAAAACCAGAGCACCAGGAGGAAACCTGTCGGACACAGGAGAACATGTTAAAGTGATTGTCTGGAGTTTGTCAGAAAGAGACAGAGAGGTACTTGATTTGAAAAAAACGACGCAAGCTCCTCCCCCTTCCTTTCTGATTGGTCTACACCTACGTTTCCGTAACACTTTGAAATGTTAATGAGAGAACACATTATACATATACATTATTAATACACATGCACGGAGGTTTTCAGAATTATTTGTGAACGTTTTAATGAAAAAAATTATGTTTTTATGCACAAAAAAAGCGATCGCGGCAAACCAGGAAGTGCTATTATCATGAATTGCACATTATAGAAACATCTGCAGAGGATCTGATTATGGATATAGGTTCATATATAAATGGGTAACTCAGCGTGGATGTTCAGAATTCTTTGTTCAGTTTTCATGTAGTTCCAGAGCCTAATAGAGGCTCCGCAAAAACAAACAACTGAGCATGAGCAGCTGCAGCATCAGCGCCGATGATTGACAGCCCTTGGCATGACTCGATTGGTTAACCTCGACGGCACCGTGGATTCTATAGCTAACTATAGCTAAGAGAAGGGAAGGCGGGACTTGCCCGTAATATTAGAATTAATAAAATGACTTATTTTATATCAACATTTAAGGCCAGGAGGTCAATTTAATACATTTCCTAAAATTTGTAATTAATTTAGAGTTACAGACTATCACTTTAAGTCCTCACTCCACGTGTTGAACTCTTATCACTGCATCTCAGTATGTTTGATTGTATTTAAATGTGCAGCAGGGACATGCAGTTTATTGGTGCCAAGACTGACAACGTGAGAGATGTGGGCACATCCTTTTTAGCGTTGACAACATGTCAAAGGACCACAGTGCATTGTGGATAATTGTCTGTGACCAAAAATAGGCCTGCAGAGTTGTTGCTAAGCTATGACTCAATGGTTCAGGCCGTTATAAGCAGGAAGCACACAGCAGTGTAGGTCTGTTTGTCAAGTTCCAAGTCACATTTATGACACAGACACACCCTCCGGTAATATAGAGATAAATACAAATCTAGCTTAGTGAATATTGTCCTTAATTATTCATAGAGCCCTACCAGAACAAACTGTTCGGCCAAGCAACTTTCCACTACTAAATTTACATTGACATTTGAACTAGCTAATACTTTCTGAACGGGTAAAAAACACAGAATCCATCAGTTTTGGCTCCACTTAGTGGGGAGTGGGAACAATTATGTGAATGACAATGCAGATCTTTTTTACCCTGAAGCTAAATGTGGCAACTCTGTCTCAACCATTACACATTATTGTGAAGTGTGTCTCCTGAAATTCTTTAAGCATGGACACAAATACATGCGTCCACTTGTCTTTGTGTGTCTCCTCCTTGAGGCTGGAGCACAGCTGGACTGGAATACAATCTGCAAGCCAGAAGCACAATCAATAAAAATGGAAACAAGAACAATGTGCACCTCCACAACTCCCCAAATTTGTGGAAACTAATTCATAATAACATAACATAACTGTTAAATAAAGTAAGTAAGTAAGTAATCTTTATTTATATACTGCCTTTTCACTGCACATC